CCCTCTTAACCCCATCGATTGGATGACCAGGAGTTAGCATGGAGCTCGAATGCTCAGGTCCAGAGATCGCACTCACCGACCCATGGGTATCGATTCCAAGCCGAGCCCTGGCAGGTCTTGGAGGGTCCCAAGGAGGAGGTGCTGGAGCCGGTGTTGCGCCTCAAGGCAACTCAGTGGGGTCGGAGCGGCGTGTGATATGTAGCAAAGACTTAAAGAGCTAAGAGCTAAGAGCAAAGAGCTAAGAGAGCTAAGAGCTAAGAGCAAAGAGCTACAAGCACCAATGTGGGACTGAGGGCCGGGCGCTGGCTGATGACGTGGTCGGATGGGTGAGCCTCAATAGCAAAAAGTGCGTGGCCCAGCTGCTCTCCATAGCTCAGCCTGACTATGCCAGACAGATGCCACTCTTTGAGGCTGAAAAGGTGGAGCCCACAGTACAAGTGCAAGCAGAGCACGGCCGATGCCCTGATTGCCCTCTCCAGAGTTGGCCTTGCTGGCCTTTGTTGCGGTGAGTCCAGCGAGGTTCTGCAGTCCACCTTGGCAACAAAGAGCGCCGGGACGGTTCGCCGGGTCGAGGAAGGTGAGATCCTGGAGGTTATCGACGGACCGAAGGAGGCGCGCAAAGAAAGAGTTGCGAGGAATGTCAGAGCAGGAGTTCTGCAAGGTGGGCCCTTGTTTTGCTCGCAGCACCCGGTGCCTCAGGACACCGAAGCTGGTCTTCTCAGAATACGAGCGCGGGCTCGGAAAGACCAAGCAGTAGGCAGGGGAAACGACAGAGCTCTGCTTTTGGTGCTTGTCAGCTTCTCCCCCGAGATCTGCACCATTCTACACCCGCTCGGTCTCAAGCAACGGCTATGGAAGCTTTGCCAGGATGGATAACGATGAAAGGCAATCAGGGAACTGTTTTCCTGGTGCAGCCTCAGCCGCAGACAAGTATGACCTGTGTGTGAGATGCTGGTGTGTGTATATATATATATAGCGCTTCTCACATTGTGTCACATGTATATGTGGAGACATATACATACGTACATGCCAGCGCATGCTGGTAGGTCGTACGCCGTAAGCTTAGGTCTGAAGATCCGCCAAAGTGCCGGCCCCAGCACCGACAAACGGCCGCAGGGGCTCTCGCAGACTGCGTCAGCAGAGAGAATGGCAGAAGATGAATGAATGGCTATGACCTTGACAAAATCTATTGAGCCGACATCTGGGTCCGAAAAGATATGAAGAGAAGCCAAGAAAGGAGATTGTTCATTTGGCGTGGTGAAAGTGAATAGAACCGAAGAGGAATATTAGAAGAGATTGAGTGCAGATGATGGTTAGTTTGATTTCAAAGATGAATGATCATGGTCTCCGCCAAATACTAAGCAAGGTTCATTCTCAATGTTGAATAGAGAGATTTGTGAGGGGAGAGATTTGTGAGCAGAGAGGATCGTGGGCACATTCGTGGTTTGAGTGGTGCTGTTCTGCCAGGCGATAACAGTAGAAGTGAGCGGATTTGTGCGCTTGCCGCCTACAGGGCCTGCAGGGCAAGGTGACTAGAACAGACCAAAACATGCAATTAGCCACCTTGCCTTGTGCCTCCCTAGTGCTGCCATCGATTATCGAGCCGTGTGCTCGTGTCGTTAGGTTCACAGGTGATTCCGAGCGCCCACCAGAGAATGACATATGACATTCTTCGCCTGACGTTCTGGGAGTCACTTGACTTGGGAGATCCCAGAGAGGAGCGCGCTGCCTCGCAGACTCTCGGTTTAATAGCCGGGCCTCGTATGCTCGGCCTGTTTATTTGTAGGAACGGTGTTGTGAGCGCGCATCGGAGACAAAGCGCTGGACAGGACTTGTCGTAGGTAAGACCGTGTGATGCTGTGCAGCAGTTGCAGCACGCAGTTGCCGTCGATATCGGTGCTGCGTGACCTTACTCCGTGGTGCTGACTCCGTGATCTTCAGCCGAAGCGATCTGCAGCCTTGGGCTCCGAATGACAATTTAGCCGTCGAAAGATTCGCCTCCTGCATTGCGGGGGGGGGGGGCACCTTTCGCGGGGCACTTCTCCCAGCGGCTCTGATGCGAGGGCCTCTCGAGCCAGGCCCGGGAAGAACGGGGAGAAAGGGATACGAAGGAGGCCGTTTCGTGAGTCCCGTCGCATGTTTGCAGAATTGCAGAGTGTGTTCAGTGTGTTCCCTTCCCTTTCTTACCGCCCTACAAGCAGGCATGGCCGTGAGCCTCACTGCGAGACATGTGGAGAGTCGCAGCGCTTCTGTTCGTGCTGCTCGTGCCCATCCTTGGGGAGAAAGCCTATGCTCGCGACATCGGCGTGTGCATGGTGGGCCAGCTCAGAGGCCCTCAGAAGATGGCATCTTTTACCGCTTGGAACTTTCGTAGATGCTCTGGCGCCACAGGCATTTGCAATGCCACAGACTTGCTGAGCTTCTTTCAGGCCCCCCAGCTTTTGCTTGGTTTCTGTGGCGCCGGTTCCGATTTTCTGGCAGGTTTTCATGAGGCCCTTTGCCACAGCTGATGTCATCCTAGCTGTGCCAGAAGAGGCACATGCCGCTCCTTGCTCATGCCATCTATTGCAATCTGATCTGCGATCTCATTCTCCCGTGAATGCTCTGACAGGAGTGCCCGAAGGCGCAGGAGCTGCGAACTTCAGAGTCAAAGCCCCGTCTGAAGCATCGGCTTCGCCGGCCAGGAGCTTATCCACGTGGCCTCTCGCTTTGCGTTCTATGGTGGAGCAGACGTCTACATGCAGGCGGGAAAAGAAGCTGCAAACAAGATTTTTCAACTACTGAATCCCTGTAGATCCTTCCTCGTCCCAAACTGTTCAGAGGCTCTCTGCCTTCCCGAAGAGCTGGAGGCATGGCATACCTTCCATTTTCCCGTAAGCTTGGCACCGTTGCTTTGCATGGCGGGTCCCTGCGCAAGTCTGGCGCGTAAAAGCGTTTAAGCGCAGCATGCAGCCGGAATTTCGTTATTTACTGCTTTGCCGTTTCCGCTTCCTTCCTCCTTGGCCGCGTGGTCCCCATGGAAAGGCGAAAAGGCATAAACGCACGAAGCCGGAATTTTGTCTTTCGCGTTTTGCTGCTTTCGCTTCTTTCTTCGTGATTTTGGGCAAATCGGGCTTGGCGTGTGAGTGTAGCGGGCTCAAAAATGTAAAACCGAAATTCGTTATTCGCTTTCTGTCGTTTTCGCTTCCTTCGTGTTGCAGCGCCTACTCACGTGCAAGCATAAAGTTAAGTGCAAAAAAGAACCCATGGCGTAAAGCGTCTACAATGAAAAGCTCAAGATGCTGGTTTTCGTCGCTTTCTCGTTTTGCCGTGTTGAGCTGGAAACGTGTGTGTTTGCGTTGCCCTTGTGACTCCATGGTTCTGCAAGCGGTTCTCTGCTTCCGGTTTGTTTGTCCATTGTGCACCAGCTACGCTCCAGGTAACTTGCTCGTTGTCAGCGTGATATGCCGCAGCAATTCTCATTCTGTCTGCGCTTCCTCGCACAGTTGCCGAGCTTTTCTCGATCGCATGTTGCAGTGCATTCAACAGCAGCTTGCGTAAACCTTTGCTCACCACCGGAGCCCTGGTTAAACAGTGTCAAGCCCATTGGCGGAACTGTCGTTGCCCTGTGGGCCCACAGACACATGCATGCACGCACCAAGCTTCACGTTCCTGATGGCTTACCTCGAACCAGCGTGCAGTAGCGTGAACTTACACAGAGTGCCTCTTCATAATGCCGCGCTGCACGGCGGAGTTGTGCCTTCACACACATGACATGTTATGCCCTGTCGGTCACCTGGTTGTCTGCTTTGACACTTTTGCCGTTAATAGCACTGGTTTTTGCCATAATTAGTGCCCTTTTCGAAGCATTCTTTCTCGATTTGTCGTTTGTTTGTGTTTTTTTTTCGCTGCGCGGGGCCAACAACGGGAACTTTCCAGTCGAGCTGCAGAATCGTCTTGGAATCTCGAAGAGCCAGTTGAACCTCAGATTCCTCGCCTCCCTGTGAACACGACCAGGCACCAGAAGAGCGGCTTTGGATGGAAAACTTTGTTTTCAGCGAGGCAGGCCATCGGTACTTCGACTACGAGCGCTTGAAGAACACCCTGCTGCCTGCAAGGCGCGCGAAAAGAGAGGGAATACCGGGCACGGAACTATCCGCAAAGCCAGCCCGCATGCAGCCTCCGACCCTCAATCAGAATCAGCGCGAATATTTTATTATTAGGATGAATAGAATAAACGCAGGGCTGACATTGATAAGATAAATATATTCGTCTCTCGGGAGCCCCAACTGGAAAGTGAGCTCGCCGGCAGTCTTTGTCTCCAAAGCCCCGTGAGAATGGAAGCAAAGGATTCGGGTTTAGGGCTAAATGTGTTTGAAGAAAGTCCCATGTCGACCTGAGCAAAGTTCTTCTAGCATGACAACCGCTGAGTCTTGAAGCGCCTGGAGGCAGTTGGCCCAGTGCGTGCACCACTTGCAGGAGAAAGCCAGGGAGGCTGATGGACAGGAGTGGCAATAGGGCAGGGGTACCCTTTTGGGGGTTCGTACGGTAAGGGTTGCCTGATGTTGGGGGATAAAGGGGGGCCGCAATCTGCCTGGGTCATTGTATGTTGCCTTTGTAGAGTTGTGACGATGCGACTTGTGCGAGCATCCCTGTCGAGGATGGTTCTTGGGGCTATCGCTGGGCAGCCAGGAGCAGACCTGACGTGGAGTGGCACTCCATGATCTCACGCGAAGACCTCGAGGGGCTGGCTCCCCCTTTCGTGCTGTCCAACTGGGTGCCAATGCCCATCCAGGCCCGATAAATCAAACAAATAGATACAAATCAAATTTCATACACATATGAATGGACATAATCTGTACATATATATATATTGTATACATACATCTCTCTCTATATATGCATATACATTACATTAAATGTATGTATGCGTTATCTCTCCAGTCAAGAGTCATAACTCCACCAACAAGACCTGGCAGGGAGTGGTGGAGGATCAGTTCCTCCTGGGCTCCTGGGCGCACATGCGCGTCGTCTTCGGGGGCCTCTTCCGTTTTCTGCTGAGCCCGCGGGAGAGCTGGAGCCTGAAAGCAGCTCCGCCCTGGTGTGTTGAGCACGCGACTATCCGCCCCTTTGACCCTTTACAGTTGTGTAAGACACTGCATCTGCATCCGACGACGTAGCTGTAGCAGATGGTTGCAGTGATGTTGCAGTGATGTTGCAGTGGTGTTGCTGTGATGCTGTAGTTATGTTTGGTGACGTGTAGTATCCCTCAACTCCGAGGCTCGCGCGAGACATGCGAGAATCTGTACACGGAGAACCTGTTGGAGTCGTTCTTGAGATCTCGGACCGAAGTCATCCAACTTCGAAAGCTGCAAGGTATTTGTTTCAATAAGGTGGCACCCTGTCGGAGGCCCCGGAGCAACTACTGTGATCTGACCCCGGCACGGCATGCCCATGGATATGTGGAGAGTGATCCGGCTTTTTACGAACAGTTCAACATGGACTACTTCTTGACGGGCTCGGCCGTGAATGCGGACTTTGATGGCCAGTTCGCGGTGCGCCTGGCCCGGTTTTTCCGCGACGACGTGGACCGCGCGGCTCGCCGATCCAGCGGTCCACGCATCTTCCAGCTGGCGGGGCGCCCCGCCCGCCCCGCCCGGGTCCTGGACATGGGCTGCGGCCGTGGCAGCTACGTCGAGCTCTTCGAGCGATGGGGTTTGGTGGCTATCGGCGTCGACGGGGACGTGGTCGTACGTCGGACACTTCCCAAGAGCAGTCTTGTGTGGGACCTCACGGAGCCACTGGACCTTCCAGGTATTCGCACAAGCGAAGCCGAGGGATTTTTGTCCCTGATCCCGGAGGGGGTCAGTGTGGACGGGGTCGATGGCACCATGGACCTCTTCCTCTCGCAAATCGAGACTGCGGCAGACGGAGACCAGGCCAGTGGTTGCAGTTTTGAGGCACCTGATGACCCAACGGAAGAGGAGGATGCAAACCTTATACTCAGTGTTGGCCTCAAGATGGAGGGAACTGGGGGGCACCACTCAGTTGCACTTCTGCGGCACATTTGTTGCAGCGACGTTCGCTGTGTCGGGTATGGTATGGGGGTGAGCCATCCGCCTATCGGCACGGTATGGCGGATGGCATCCAGCCAGGGTGAGGATCCTTACAACGGGACGCGGCCATCCTTCTTCTATGGGCTCAGGTATTTGCGGCGCAAGACCTGGCCGAGTGCTCGAGGGGCATCCGGTAGGGTAGCTCTGCCTCACTCGCTGCTGGAGAACCTGGGCGTGCTCACGGTGTCCTTCGGGTCAGCAGACTGGGTTTTGAGCCTTGGGGTTGGCCAATTCATTCCGCGCTCCAAAGAGCCGACGTTTCTGATGAACTTGGTGCGACATGCTGAGCTCGGCATCGTGATCCTCTGGGGTGGCTCGGGGCCAAACCCTCGCTCCGCAAAAGAAGTGCGGCAGCTGTTCCAGCCTTTGGGCTTTCGCCCGGACAAAGGGGCTGCCAGGGAGCTCCGGCTCTTTGCAGGATTGGCCTACGGTGGGCAAAAGGACGAGCTCCTGGTCTTGCGGCGCCGTGCAGGTACCTGGGCAGCCTTGGATCCATGGAGCCGCGAAGACGTGCACAATGCGGACGGCAGCGGGGAGCCTGCAGCGCTTGTTGGGCACCACGCCTACCTTGTCCAGTACCGAGGCAAGCAGGCCGTGCACTGCGCAGTGCACGAGACCTATGGCCTCGTCAGGCCCGGCCTGCTCTGGGTCACCGGCGGCTGTGGCGGCCTCTTCCGGGTCTGGCGGACCAACAACGCCCAAGAGCTGCCCGGTGCATTCTGTATCAACGCCGACCATCGATACAAGGAGTGCATCATCCCATCTTGGCTCACGGACCCAAAGATCAATGCAACCGTGCTGAGCGCTCTGATGGATCTGAATGCCACAGGGGGTGCTCGCACGCACCTGTCTGAGCGCCTGGATCCAGAGAGCCCGGGGTTGAATTCAATTCAGGAATGGTCGGAGGGCCATAAGAAAGCAGAGCATGCAGAGCTCGGGAAGCAAAGCCCAGGTTTTCTGGACTGGCAGATGCACGCTTCCGCCGACCACTTTGTGCCTCGGCTGGCGGCCTGGCGTGGAGACCCGCGCCTGAACGTGGTGTTCTACAAGTTCTCGCGGAAGCTGGCCTCGGCTTGCGTCGCAGACGGATCACACTGCACTCGCTGCAATTCTAATAGCACAGTTCGCACACTCCGTGCCCACACATCGACGGCGATGAGGCCATCAGAGCTGCTTCTCGAGTGGCGGTGGTTCTGGTCCATCGACTGGCGGCCCTTGCTGAGGCTCTCAGCCCAACTGCAGGCCCGCCGAGGGCGAGGCTGGCGGGGCCGAGGAGGTGTGGAGGCGGAGGCCCCTACCCGCTTCGCTCGACTATTCCTGGTGCTGCGGTCCCTTGGGCTAAAACTATCAAAGCGCGACCCCAAAGACCTCAAAGACTCCATGCCCGGCTTCAACCAGAAGCTGCGGACCCGTGCTTTGGGCCACTTCCGCCGGGCGGCGTCCACTGCAGAGAGCACTCTTCGCCTGCAGGTCGAGCTTGCCAGCAAGCCAGCCGGCGAGGCACCCGGATCGACACCGAAGGCACTGAAGGTGCGCTGGTCTGCATCGGACTGCCTACCACGCTGGCGCTTCCGCCGCGATCGGAAGAAGCTCAAGGGCCCACCGCCCCCTGAAGCCTTGTTGCGCCGCTTTGCCCTGGCGCAACGGGCTGGCAGCGCGCTGCTCGCTGGCCTTTCCCCAGCCAGAGCCTTGAGGAGCCCAGTCTTGCATGAGCTCCTTGGTTTGGCTCATCGCGCAGCCTTGGCCGTGGCCCAATGGGGTGGGGCCATTCCATGTACAGGGCAACGCTTTCGGAAGCGTCCCATGAGTCCCGTGTCTCACCGCCCTATGGCGAAGCCAGGGTGCGAAAGGTGCGAATGCGAAAGGCCATGGGCCGAGGACTCAGTGGAGGCTTGGTATGTCTACCGCTTGGTGGCCTGCGACCCTTCGGTCTGACTTTGCTGCAAGCAAAAGGTCTCTGCGTATGCTGTGTTGAATGCAATACAGCAGTGCAACATGTGCAGTGAGAGTGTTCACAAGGCAGTGCTTTGTAAGGCTTTGTATGCAAGATGTACCTTAAGACGGCACATCACACCCGCCCGCTCACTCCGCGTCGTTGTTTTCGAGCGTCCCTTTGCGTGAGCGAGGCGCAGTGAGGCGCAGCGAGGCCCAGCGAGCTGCAGTTGGAGAGCAGAGTCGTCAATTCGGCCGATGCCTTTGGTGCCAGGCCATGCCTCAAACCGCGCCCGACGTGCTTCCAGCTACCCTCGGCCTGGTCGGGGTCGGTACCATAGGCCCTGGAGACCCCCGGCACACCCTCAACAACATTGGTATGCAATGCTGCAAGTACATGCAATGTGAATATATGTATATGATGTACACATGTACATATGGACTATAAATGCTTGCATGCCAAAGTGAGATACGAAATCCCCGCCGAATCCCTGCAGGCTCCTCCGTGATTCGTGGGCTCTTGACTCCCGGCCCCGGCTTGCCGGAGCCGACGCCCAGGCACATTCAGGGAGGACAAGAAAATGCAAGTATATAGAATGCAACTGATGAGGCACTGGGAAAATAAGTGATAGAAGGATGTCGGTTTAGATGTCCTGAGAGGGTGCCTTGTGATGCTCGTGCCGGTGCAGGGTGGTTCTGTCACCCCGAGGAGCTGCGAAGGTGCGGACAAGTGTGGACAGTATTGTGAAGTTGTGTGCTTCGTGTGATTGTGTGGTGTGTGAATGTGTGGTAAGCATGTGTTAGCGGACGCCTTGGAGGCAGCAGAGCTTGCCGGCGACTTCCCAAGCCACGTGGTGATCGCAAAGAGCAACCAGGAGGCCAAGTGACTTGTTTGTGCGTTTCGTGTCACAGCCGGTTACCAGTAGGTATGCATGTGGAAAACAGTATTTTCTTAACATGAGTATACACTGGAACCGAAGGTCGTCGACTCGGTCGAATGCGTCATCGTGGCTGTGCTTTTCAAGCAAGTTAACGAGGCCCGGGATCAACATCTCATGGCACCAGCTTTCGTTGCGCAGAGAGCGCGTTGGCGCACGTCGTGATCTCAAGTCTTACATGGGGCACCATGAAGTCAACGGATTAGCCAGAGCAGAAGTGTGGCTGAAGGTACCAATGTGAAATCTCTGTAAGGAGGGAGGCAGAATCAAACTGAGAGGCACGACATAGGAGAGGGTACGACAATGTGTTGGGCACGGCCTCTCTGAGGACAGCCCTCAGTCCAACGTGCGCACGTGCGCATGCTTCTTCCCCGAACACTATCTTCCAGGCTTCAAGAGACAGACAAAGCTGCCAGCAAAATGCACAAATCAGAACCCCCCCCCCCCCGGGCAAAAGCACCAAAGCATCGAAGAAAGCAGTCCTGTGGCAGAGCTCCAGCTAGGGTCCCGCAATGTCCCCCGCAGGTCATGAAGGGCCTCGTTTTCCGAGAAGGGCTCCGGCCTCGTGCTGCGATGTCTTGGCTGCGCTGTGATTTCGATTCTGTTCAGGCAGAAGGTCGTGACACTGGTGGCTGGACTCCTGCCAAAGAAGCTGCAGGACGATTTTCTTGATACTTGCCCGCGTAAATTGGCGTAAATATTTGAAAGAGTGTGAGCGGGCTGAAGCGGATAAAGCGCAAGGAGCTGTCTTCCCCAGCTTCGGATTGTGTCAGCGCGATCCCACTGCCTGCAGTGGCCAGGTGGACTGGCTGGGATCTCTAGCAGTGGCAGAAATGAGCTCCAGAAATCTTGGTCGCAGGCGCTCTGGATCCACACTGCTAACCCCGCCAAGGCCCTGGGCACAGGCCATCGCAGCACTTTGCTAAGACTTGTTAAGTAGTCCAGGGCTTGTTTAGACACGCTCGGAGCCGAGCAAAGAGAGCGACAGAGAGAGCCGGGGGCGTGCTTCGGAAGCCTCCGGGAGGCCCTGTTTGGGACCTGTGGGAAGTGTGTTCCCGTGGAGAGCGAAGCGGAGTTCAAAAGGCCAGAGCATCAGAGTGGGCAATACTGAAATGTCGAGATTCCGAGATGCGGTTCTTGCTGGTGTGGTGTTTGGAGGCTTCTCTGTGTCACGACTCTGATGGGAGACTTCTACAAGAGGCAGCTAACTGCACAGCAATGGCTCTCTTCGAACGGTGTGGCAGAGGACCGAGTCGTGAGGCAGTGTTTAGTCACTCTTACAGACTCCGCGAACTGCCATAAACCTCAAACCCCAAGCTATGGCTTGTAGCATCTCTCAACATCTCCACAGGAGGACGCCGCGGCGTGGGTTGGGGCAACGTTTGCCACCTTTGCCGCGGACAGCCGCGAGGCAGAGGCCTGGGACGTTTGAGCGCACGTAAACCGCCCCCCCCGCCCCCCAGATAGCTTTCCCATCTGAGAATACGTCTTGCTTGCACAAGCTGAGAAAGAGCTCACACGTGCTTCCTCAGGCAAGCACCTTCGCAAAGGCACGGCTCTGCTCGAAGTGTGGAAGCAAGCCCCAAATGAGAAGACCAAAACAGCTGCCGAACGAACACGTCTCCCCCCCTTTTGGTGGCAGCTCGTGGAAGAGCAGACCCCGGGAGGGCTCAATGAGATGGCGGGGCACTCATCTCTCGTGCCCGATGCTAATGTCCGCTCTCGCCCGCTTTCGAAGACTGCGACATGTGCCTCACTAAAACAGGTGTGGAGAGCCCAAGAAGCGGATGAGAGCTACAAGTCTCTGACGTACTCCTTGGATGCGGCTTGGTCCTGAGACTCTTTCAGTCAATCTCATGCTCCTTGTAAATTCCGCATCTCTCAGCCTTGCTCAAGACACTCGAGACATGATCCTGCTTCTGTGGTGGACGTCGCTGCCCTCAGAAGCACTCCACAATACTCAATACTCCACAAGTACAGACTGGCGAGAAGTGAGCAACAGTTCTCCAAAGCACAGCGTTCGAGCAAAAACGGGCTTCTTCGCCTGACGTTGGGTGTGCTGCACAGTGGGTATATGTGAACAGAATGTGAACGGAGCATCGAGCAACAGTTTGCAGCATCCAAAGCATCACTTCAACATCCTTTCCTTTCTGGCAGCTTCTGGCAAAGCTTCCGTGCGGTGATCGTATGTTGTGTGCCAAGCATCTCAGCAATGCCTGGAGAGGCCTTGTTTTAGTATGCACTGTCCCAAATTCAGTTTGGGGCTCGGAGCTCCACAGCCCAACGTAACTTGCCAATGGATGTACCCTGCCGCATCTGCATGGGGCTCCACTTGCCAGGTCTTTCACCGGCTCGTAGCCGGTGCTGAGGACTCGTCCCTGGCACCTGCTGCCAAGCGCTGCAAGCGGTGATAGTCACTCCGGTCCAGTGCTTAGGGAAGAAAAGGGCAGCAATCCGGAGCGAGGGTTTGGGCAGAAGGTAACGTTCGGTAACCTAAGCAATCGTGCAAAGCCATTTGGACTACATGGAGCACCAGGAACATCCTGAACGACTGCTGCTCGTGTGTCTGTAGAACCTTATCAGTGTGGAAGACACACGGTCAGGTCACAGTGCGCTCAGACAGGGGCATGTAGAGAAGTGGCACAGTGCCAAGGCACACCCAGGGATGAAGACCAGACAAAGCCTAATCTTTGCTGAACTTCCTGATGACTCCAGTGACACTGAGACATGTAGATGAGGAGGCGATCGCTGCGCTCTTTCCGTGCGGTGTGTGGCACTTGTCAGTTGAACACTGAACATGTGGTGAAGTTGCGGGATTGCTGCCACTCCTGTGTCTTGTATGATTGCAGTGTCCTGGCTGCATGGGCATGTTGCAGCGGGGACACTTCCAGGGATTAAGACCACACAAGGCTTAATCTTTGCTGAAATTCCTGATGACTCCAGTGACACTGAGACATGTAGATGAGGAGGCGATCGCTGCGCTCTTTCCGTGTGGTGTGTGGCACTTGTCAGTTGAACACTGAAGCATGTGAAGTTGCGGGATTGCTGCCACTCTTGTGTCTTGCCTGCATGGGCATGTTGCAGCGGGGACACTTCCAGGGATTAAGACCACACAAGGCTTAATCTTTGCTGAACTTCCTGATGACTCCAGTGACACTGAGACATGTAGATGAGGAGGCGATCGCTGCGCTCTTTTCGTGCGGTGTGTGGCACTTGTCAGTTGAACACTGAAACATGTGAAGTTGCGGGATTGCTGCCACTCCTGTGTCTTGTATGATTGCAGTGTCCTAGCTGCATGGGCATGTTGCAGCGGGGACACTTCCAGGGATTAAGACCACACAAGGCTTAATCTTTGCTGAAATTCCTGATGACTCCAGTGACACTGAGACATGTAGATGAGGAGGCGATCGCTGCGCTCTTTCCGTGTGGTGTGTGGCACTTGTCAGTTGAACACTGAAGCATGTGAAGTTGCGGGATTGCTGCCACTCTTGTGTCTTGCCTGCATGGGCATGTTGCAGCGGGGACACTTCCAGCGATTAAGACCACACAAGGCTTAATCTTTGCTGAACTTCCTGATGACTCCAGTGACACTGAGACATGTAGATGAGGAGGCGATCGCTGCGCTCTTTCCGTGCAGTGTGTGGTACTTGTCAGTTGAACACTGAAACATGTGAAGTTGCGGGATTGCTGCCACTCTTGTGTCTTGCCTGCATGGGCATGTTGCAGCCGGGACACTTCCAGGGATTAAGACCACGCAAGGCTTAATCTTTGCTGAAATTCCTGATGACTCCAGTGACACTGAGACATGTAGATGAGGCGATCGCTGCGCTCTTTCCGTGCGGTGTGTGGTACTTGTCAGTTGAACACTGAAGCATGTGAAGTTGCGGGATTGCTGCCACTCCTGTGTCTTGTATGATTGCAGTGTCCTGGCTGCATGGGCATGTTGCAGCGGGGACACTTCCAAGGATTAAGACCACACAAGGCTTAATCTTTGCTGAAATTCCTGATGACTCCAGTGACACTGAGACATGTAGATGAGGAGGCGATCGCTGCGCTCTTTCCGTGCGGTGTGTGGCACTTGTCAGTTGAACACTGAAACATGTGGTGAAGTTGCGGGATTGCTGCCACTCTTGTGTCTTGCCTGCATGGGCATGTTGCAGCGGGGACACTTCCAGGGATTAAGACCACACAAGGCTTAATCTTTGCTGAAATTCCTGATGACTCCAGTGACACTGAGACATGTAGATGAGGAGGCGATCGCTGCGCTCTTTCCGTGGTGCGGTGTGTGGCACTTGTCAGTTGAACACTGAAGCATGTGAAGTTGCGGGATTGCTGCCACTCTTGTGTCTTGCCTGCATGGGCATGTTGCAGCGGGGACACTTCCAGCGATTAAGACCACACAAGGCTTAATCTTTGCTGAACTTCCTGATGACTCCAGTGGCACTGAGACATGTAGATGAGGAGGCGATCGCTGCGCTCTTTCCGTGTGGTGTGTGGCACTTGTCAGTTGAACACTGAAGCATGTGAAGTTGCGGGATTGCTGCCACTCTTGTGTCTTGCCTGCATGGGCATGTTGCAGCGGGGACACTTCCAGGGATTAAGACCACACAAGGCTTAATCTTTGCTGAACTTCCTGATGACCCCAGTGACACTGAGACATGTAGATGAGGAGGCGATCGCTGCGCTCTTTCCGTTGTGCGGTGTGTGGCACTTGTCAGTTGAACACTGAAGCATGTGAAGTTGCGGGATTGCTGCCACTCTTGTGTCTTGCCTGCATGGGCATGTTGCAGCGGGGACACTTCCAGCGATTAAGACCACACAAGGCTTGATCTTTGCTGAACTTCCTGATGACTCCAGTGGCACTGAGACATGTAGATGAGGAGGCGATCGCTGCGCTCTTTCCGTGTGGTGTGTGGCACTTGTCAGTTGAACACTGAAGCATGTGAAGTTGCGGGATTGCTGCCACTCTTGTGTCTTGCCTGCATGGGCATGTTGCAGCGGGGACACTTCCAGGGATTAAGACCACACAAGGCTTAATCTTTGCTGAACCTCCTGATGACCCCAGTGACACTGAGACATGTAGATGAGGAGGCGATCGCTGCGCTCTTTCCGTGCAATGCGTAGAGATGTGAAATATGGGATTGCTGCTGCTCCTTTGTCTTTTGCGATTGGGACATTGTGACTGAGCGAGAGGTTGCTGAAGCTTGGTGCGCAGCTGGCACGGCGCATGCTGCAGCAGGGACACTCTCAGGCAACAATTCGGATAAGCGGCCCAAGTTAGGTGTCATGCACCTCCTGCTTCAAAGAAGCGTCGTTCCGGAACGACGTTGTTGCAGCAATTGCCCAAGCCAACACTCTGACTTGCTCCAGATCATGGAGGCCAATTTGGCTCACAGCACGCCGGTATGGCAAGTCCGTTTCGGTGCTTGTCATGGCAGAAGTCGTTTCTTCCGACGAGGAGGGGGAGCAGGCGCGCAGCACCCACTGCTGGTCTCACCAGAGAGTAGACTGCTCCTTCGCAGGTTTGTGTATGGGATCGTGAGTAGGGTCAAATGTCGGATACGTGGCTTACAGCCATAAGCTTGAGGGTGCAGTCCGTGTGAGCCCCTCGTCTTCCCTGAGGTAAAGGAGGTTGGCACAAAGATCCCAGTTTCGACCCAGGAGCCCAAAGAGGCCCGACTCGTCCGACGTGATCCTCTAGCCCCTCTCTCCATCTCCCTCTTCTTCCTTGTTGCCCCCTTTTTGGTACATACTGAGTCGAAATTCTCGTGGGAGGCACAAAAGGAGGCAAAGGTCCCTCCGAACCGCAAGCGGCCTGCACACGAGCCCTTGCCATATGGCTGGGTGCGCAAGGCCTCCAAAACGAAGAAAGGCGCCTCCGGACCCACAAATTCCATAAGGACTCATGAAGCACCTATTTGAACCTATTTCACTAGAGATGGCTAGAGGACGGCTGCAGATGTTTTTGTTGTGCTGTGAGCTTTGGCGACTTCTTCACGCATGGGGTGTAGACAGACCATCTTCCTGAAGGTGCCTACTACTATGCGCACATCCTCACGGGCCACCCGGTGCAACAACTCGCGCTTGAATTCTCATGACTTCTCCGTTGTAGCTTTGCATCCTTGGTTTGTTCTTCGGCGCTTATGGCATCCTCTGAGTACCTGATGGCTTTGTGCTGGCAAGGAAAGACGCAGGTGAACAGACCTGGACCTCGTGCCACTGCAGGCTCGACCACAGCAGGAGCTTTGCAGATTACAGACATCGTTGACTAGACAAAAGATCTTTCCCAAGCTTGGAAAACTTGGAAGGCTTCGGGGGGACGGGTGGGGGACGGGGCTCCCATTAGCTTTTTTGGGCTGTGGCTCGAAGCAAGAACCAGCTGATGCGGCTCATACGCTCGCGGAAGAGCACGTCATCTGCCCCACTCAACAGAGCACTGCCCTCAACTTGCGCTCTTGCATGTCGAGACCCTGTGGCAAGGCAAGAGGCCACGAGCGGAGCGCGCGGAGCGCGCGCCACCGCCGCAGCCCATACCTGAGGAGGTCCGGCAGAGGCCGCTATCCACGAACATGGCGCCTTGCGTGAAAGAAGGCTCTTTGTTTGGGTAGAGCTCGAGATGTGAACTGGAAGGCAGGCGGAACACGACGCAGCGGCAGAGGCAGAGCTGGAAGAAGTCAAACGTAAGGCAGGAGCAGTACATGGCAGCACACCAGTCCTCTTGCTGCCCTTCTCGAATACTTCAGATAGGCTGCGGAGCGACGCGCGGCCCAAAAGGCCTAGCCTGGCTGCTGCACAGCTTTCGGTTTCATGGAAATGGCCGTGCGAGCAGTGCAGAGCAAGCGGCGCCATGGCAGGCGATGGAGTCAGCTCACGATGAGGGCTCCGAGGCTTTGACTCTGCCTTTCAGATTCCGCGCGAAGAGATGTGAAAGTGGCGAAGTGATGGTCTCAGGAGGAGTCGGGCTCTGATGACGACAACGAGAACGTGACCGGAGAGGCCGCCGTTCCTTCCGAACCTCCTTAAACCACACAGACCGGAGCTTGGCATTCACAGATACAGGATCTGACAAAGTGGAAGCAAGAGGAGGAGCTCCGAGAGAAGAAGCAGGCGGGAAGTCGGGGTCTTCGTTTCTAGGCGCCGATTGCAAGCTCCCCCCCCCTCCCCCACCGCAAGGCCGAGAGGGAGGAGAAGGACAGGCTGTCTTGGCCTGCAGCCTCAGAGCTCCCTCCAGTTCCCCGCGTGCTGCAGCCATGCCTGGATGTGCTGAAGGCCGGGAATTTAAGCCTTTTTTGGGGAAAGTGGGGGGCAGGATGAGAAACATGTCTGAGGATGGGAAGTGGGTCGACCGGCATGTCCTGGGCTCTGACAAGCAGCGCTGGACTCTGGGGCGAGCGGCCGGGGAAGTGGACTTCCCCATGAACCATACGACGATTTCGAGGCCGCGCGCCACCCCTCGAGTCTTCCATGAGCCTCGTGAAGAGAGACGCAAGAAGGAAGAGAGAGAGACAGACACTATCAGACATCATCAGACACAGAGAGGCCCCTAATGTAGTGCGGTGTGCGCAGGCAGCATGCGGCTCTGACCAGAGGAGGTGCTGGGATTTACCTCGTGGACCAATCCGTCCATGGTGTACAGGTGAATGCGCAGCGGATCGAGAAGAACCTCCGAGTCTTATTGAAAGATGGCGCCATGGTGAAGTTCGGGGCCTCGTCCAGGTTGTACGTCTACCACGAGCCAACGTGAGCGACAGGTGGAAAAGTGAGTGTAAGCGAATTTTCGAAGAAGCTCCACGTGGACATGTGGGAATGCCTTGCCATGAGCTAGGGACACTGCGTGGCTTCTGTGTGAGTTCATTGCGGCACGACGTAGGCTGTGTTTCCCACTTGCCCGCCTCTGTTGCCGTTTGTTTCAAGATGCGTCTTAAGTCTCAGGTTTTCCATAACTGCAAAATATGAACATGCGTCTCATGCGGGCGCTGGCCCTCCTTTGCCTGTGCTCGAGGGCTTGCGCGGAGGAAGGCGATTACATCGTGGCTGTGGATGCTGCTGGAGAGGTGCAAAGCACGCACAGCACTCACGGCGCAACGGGCTACGGCTCTTCCAAAGCAGAGCCCATGAGCCTGAACGCCATCCTCCCGCACTGGCCCGAGGCCACGGGCCGCTCCCTCTTGCTCCCTCTTTCCTGCTCTCTCTCCCTCTCTCTTTTTTGTTCCCTCTCCCTTTCTCTGGCTCTCTCTCTCTCTCTCTCTCTCTCTCTGTCTGTGTCTTTCTCTAAATGGCTGAAGCAATTCGAATCGGTTACAGTCTGCCACGCCAAGAAAGTGCCCCTGCCCCAATGCGCATTGAGCCACCCAACTCCACAGTGCCAAGCAGTGACGACACCAAGGCCGCGGTCTCGCAGCAAAGCGCCCAGGTTGCCCGGAATCCTCGCGAGGTCGAGGCCCAGGCCGACGTGGACGAGGGCGACGAGGAGGGCGAGGAGGAGGAGGGCGATGAGGAGGGCGATGAGGAGCCGGACACAAGCGACAAGAGCTCAGGCGAGAAGGACGCGTACTCCTTCACGTACCGGCAGCATGTGGTGGGCTCCACACCAACAGGTGAGCTCGGAATCGGAACCCCAAGTGTGAACCTGAACATGATCTTAGACACTGGGAGCGACAAATTCGTGGCGAAGACGTGGTCGACTATCAAGGCCGAGCTTGATAAGATCGATGCCGGTGCCTCTGAAGAGGTCTTTCCCAGCACGAAGCTCTACAATCACAATGCCTCCAAGTCCTACATGCAGCTCTTCATGTCCTCGCATGGGAAGAAGATCCCGCGACAGGGGTTCATAGCCTATGGGAGCGGCATGGCCATCACGGTGGAGGGCAGAGAAACCATCCGGATTGGTGCTGCAGAGGAGTATGTAAGCATGCAGAAGTTTCCGATCTCTGAGATCAGCATGGACTCCCTGCAGATACTTCATTCCTCCAAGGGCATCTCGGGAATCCTGGGCTTGCAGCACATGATGCACCCCGGGCAGCACCGGGAGAGACTCTGAGGTTTTTTGCCTTTGTGGTGCGAGAAGTCTTGTGCCTCTTGCCTTCTTCGCTCCCAGGAATCGATCCCTGGGGCAGTCCTTCTATTCGAAGCTGCGCGATAAGCGTGTGCTGCACTCGTTCGGATATTGCCGTGGCAAGAAGAACGATGGCATCCCCGGCTGCAGAGAGTGGCCTGTGCAGCTTGTGGCGTCTGAGCATTCAGTCACTCAGGCACCTTCATTTGGGGAGACAGGCGGGCAAGCCCAGCATAACTGGTTTAACTGCGGCGCATCGTGAGAGCCCCGCTTGAGCTTATAAAGGGCTCCCTTGTCGTGCTTGATGTATTGAAGGATGCTTGAGCTTTCTCTTTTTTTGAAGGTCCAGCGAAGGCAAGGCAGTGAACGTCGAAGGGCAGATGCACTGGGCCGTGAAGCTCAGCAACATGCGCGTGCGCCATCGGAGGCCTCAGCCTTGGACGGGTGACGAAGTAGATGTGTTGATGTGTTCACAAGAGCCTGTGTTTCTGATACTTTTCTGGGGTGCTCAGGCACAAAGCCGCCTCGCTGCTCAGCGACGATGCAGACGGGGTGCCTTGGATGTGCTTCGTGTGTGCCCTCTCTCAGGGTACCAGTTTGATGAAGGTTGATAGAATGCTATAGCATGCTACGGGTGCCAGAGCAGAACTCAAATGGGACACCAGGGAACAGTGGAGCAGAAGTGGAACGCTATCCAAGGACACCGTTTCAAGCAAGCCGTCTTCACATGCCTCTGGGACTGACGGACGCAGCATTGTTAACTTCATTGTTAGCAGAGTCCTGAGATGCACACGCCTGAGCTCAGGCGCACCACAAGTTCCACCTCTGCCGCGAGAACGCTCCGTGTGTGGCTGTGATCGACACAGGATCCAACATCCTGGCCATGCCCTCTGAGGCGGTGAGGCCAGACAACAAGCAAACCTAGAGATACTCAGAGTGTTGTGACAATATGTGCAACTCTCGTGCAGCTAGTTCTTGCGCATGTATCTGTGCAAGAATGAGTCGTCTTCTGCAGCAGAGAAAGAGAACCTATCCTGTGGGCCAGGATGCTGACGAAGACGCTCGACGTGTCCTCGGACTGTTCCAACATGGACCAGCTTCCCAACCTCCACTTCGCGCCGGGACCATGGTTGTTTACTGAGAATTTCTTATTTTTGACATGCTTTGGGACCGATGGCTGCAGGCTCGGCGAGGGGATCGAGATTTCCTTGCCCCCGGCGGCATACATCATGAAGGTAAAGCTCCCGTGGCTTCCAAGGAAGGACAAGAGCTCTTCCGAAGACTCCGAGAACTCGGAGGAGTCTGACTCATCCTCGGAATCCTCGGCAGCCTCCACGGAGGCCACACGCGACCAGCATCCAAAGAATGGGAAGGCCAAGGCCAAGGCCAAGGTGAAGGTCCACCATGTCGACGCCGACGAGGACAGAGGTGATGTGATGCCGGAGGCCAGGAATCGTGTGGCACGCCCGCCTTTTCCCATCCTTCTCCCAGTCCTCACCGCAACGCTCTTGACTTTCTTGACTTCCAGGCATCGAAAGCCAAGTCGCGGCACCGGCAGCAGCGACCACCACTTGAGCTGACCGAGCAGGAGGAGGGGGACACCTTCCAGGCAGAGGTCGAGTCTTTTGTGGAGGACCATATAGAGCTCCTCCATGCGGGTCATCGCTACTGAGAAAGCTCCAACTTGAGCGCCAATGCCAGGAGACGCGAAGACAGCAAGGCTTGGACTTGCGTGCTGTCCTCGCGAGCTCAGACCTGGCGCTGCTTCTCAAGAACACCTCGACCTTGTTCCGCGGCCTACAAGTCTCTCTTCTGTGTCTCTTTCTCTGTGTGCTTACGACCCACGCGTCGCCTCGACAGCTTGAAGCTAGGCAACTTGTGGACGTTGGCAACCGTCTGCTTCCTTCTGCTTCATCTTTTTATCATTTTGTTTGGTGGAGATGGAGGGGGCTTCTGTGTCATCTCTTTCAGATTCTTCCAAGTGGATTCGAAGCCATGCGCCTGTGGAAACAAGGTGTATGCCCGCCATTGTACCCTTAGATCGCGAGACGCAGAAGGGCACCCTTCTTGTCGTCGGGGGTCCCCTGTTCGAGAGGCGCCCTGCCGTGAGGGAGGCACAAAGTGGCGCTCTGCTTGTTGCGGCGAGGTATTACACCCGTTGGGCATGGCCCGAGGGACAGAAGCCCCAAGTCTTTGTCCAGGACCTGTGCGGCATGGTAGACTTGTGGCTCTCCTGTTTCTCATGATTTTTTTGTCTTAAAAGTACCTGAGCGCAAGACCACAAAGCGCAACTTGCATATTATTCGATCCTTCAGTGTCCTGGACGTGACGAAAAGGAAGTGCAACATAATTGCCGGTCGCAGCTCAAGCCATTCGCAGACGAGTCTGTAGAGATCTGTAGAGTAGCCGAGATGATGCAGGAACGTGTGAATGCGTGAGAATACGTCGGAACATGTGACACGTGAACATCAGAGTCAGGAAAAGCAACCTCCCCCGATTTTCCCGGCTGGGACCACTGACTGTGTCAGAGGACTTGCACAAGGCCGAGGCCTGCGCGGCCAAGGCTCGGAAAACTGCTCTTTCGACACTGCTCTGCATCTCTCTCCATCTCTCTATCTTTCTCTCTCTCTCTCTCTCTCTCTCTCGCTCTCTCTCTCTCTCTCTCTCTCTCTCTCTCTCTCTCTCTCTCTCTCTCTCTCTCTCTCTCTCTCTCTCTCTCTCTCTCTCTCTCTCTCTCTCTGTCCGTCTCTTTGATGTCCCTCCCTCCTCCTGCAGTGAAGTGTGCAGCTTTGCAGCACAGGAGGAAACGACAACGGAATCCGAAGCAGGGAAGACCCCGAAGATGACCGTCTGGAGGTCACACGAAAACGACGGCCGCATGATCCGTTTGGGGCCTACGGTGGTGGCATCAGTCTCACAAAGCACAACAAAGCACGAGCATCTGCAGGTGCGGAGAAAGGACAGCGACATCTCAAGTCGACAGTGTCCGCTGACCTCAGCGAAATGCCCTCGGAGTTGAGGCCGGACTATTTTTTGACCAGAGCTCGTCATTTCAAAGAGCGCAGACTGTGGATGTTGGTCATCCTGCAGAAACATGGTGCCTGCTGGCTCAGGCCACGCGAGATTACTCTGGATGACATCAGGCCTGAGCCACTTCACTTGTACATGAGGATTTCTTGTTTTGCCATGAGGTATCCGCATTGGGCGAGGTATCTGGACGAGCTCTGAGTCTGGAGGCTAGCGTGGGGAGTGCATAAAAGAAAGCCCACCAGCTCTCCCTCATCGCCTGAGACTTGCCAGTATCGTGCTTCACTCCAAGAACAGTGCGGCTTTCAGCGGGGCTCAAGAGAATGCGACGTTTGGTCGTGGCGATGTTCTAATGCAGAAACACTCTCCAGTCTTCTACACGCTTGCGCCCCATCGCATCAGCGCCATTGGTCAGCTTGTTGATCCAGGTTAGGCGACCCGCCCCCCCCACTCCACGACAGAGCCAAGGGGCTGCATGTAGAAACGACATTGACAAGCCAAGAGCAACATCAACTCTGCAGCTCCTCAGCCATCCTAGAGCTACTCAGGTGCCGCCCTTCCTTGATATGCCATGTCGCCTATCACGCAGTCTGCCGGGACTGGCCTGGGAATTGTTGGCTGGAGCCTTTGTGGCTGAAAGCACGCCCTCTCACCAAGCCAGCTGTGTGTCAGAGAGTCAGAGACATGTGTGCGTGGCCTAGATGCGTGTAGTCACCGTGTAGTAGTGGTAGTGGTCCGATAGTGGCCTGGTGAGATTCCATTCTGAGGCGATGGCAAGGGCTGGTCGGGCGGAAGCACGCGGCCTGATGGTGAGGAGACGAGGGGGAACAGCACAGATTCACTTTGCGGCTTGCGGGGCCATGAGGGTCATGGAGGGCCTCGATGCTGATCCTTGCTGTTGGCTCCGGGCACTCTTTTTTGCTTGAAAAGTCGGAGGCGAACCAGCCTCAGAGCATCAAGGAGAAGAGGCCTAAAGTCTTTCTCGAGGCCTCAGTCAGGATAGGGGCAAAACCTGCAAAGATGTGCTGCGCTCCCCCGCTCCTCCCAAAGGTCGAGCTGCACAAACGCAAGCTTGGCCGCATCGTCCTAGAGCTTTTCGGTGACGTCGTCCCAAAGACCGTTGAGAACTTCCGTTGTCTTTGCACGGGCACGGCGCCCCAGCTTTCCTCGGGCTTGGATCCGGATCTTGAACTCTTGCTCAGAACCTCAGAATATCGATGAATATCGTAGAGCTGCAGGTGAGCGTGGAGTCAGTGCCGTGTCTGGCAAGCCTCTGTGCTTCAAGGGCAGCAGGTCGACGCCTCGAATCGGAGGCTAGGCCTAGGGGCCTAAACTCATGAAGCTTGTCTCGGACTTTGCCGAGGTTTCACAAGATCATCCCAGGCAAGATCATCCAAGGTCAGGAGCTCGCTGTTTCAATCTCTGCGTGTCTGCAACGATGGGCCAATAAACCTTTGAGGTGGCGACATCACGAAAGGGGACGGTTCGGGTGGAGACTCCATTTACAACCAGGCGCGTAGGCCCAAAGGGTCCGAAGGGTGCAGGGCCCTTGCAGCTTCAACTTGGTTTTGCAGGATGGTGACGGAACCTTTGGATGTGAGAACTTCAAGCTTAAGCATGACCGCCCCGGCTTGGTGTCTGCCCCGGGCAATTGCCTGCTACGTCTAATGATTCTAGTGACACTCGTTGCCATGAGCATGGATTCGGAGAGGGGGACTTTTCACGGAAAGTGCTCGGATGAGGTCTCTATGGCCCACAAGCGAGGTGAGGAGGGGAAGCAGTGTTCTCAGTTCTTCTTCATCTCCAAGGCCCGGCCCCAGGCACCTCGCGACCACCACGCTGTGGGTCCGTTTTCCCCGAGAGGCGGAGCCCAAGCTTGATGGCAAGCACACGGTTTTCGCCAGAGTCATCGAAGGCATTGACAAGCTGTCGAAGGCCGGGCCAGCCCCCCGAAAGATCTGAGGTCTCCCAGAGTTGCTCTGTGCTTATGATAATAACAACTATTGCTATTCCTATTATTTCTCTGTTGGTCCAAGCTGGGATTTGCACAACTTGCCTGTGCCTGGCAGCTCGAGTCCATGGGCACGAAGGGTGGCACACCCCTCTTCGAGGCAGGAGCAGCTTTTGCCTGGCACACGTCTCCGTACCTGTGTGCAAGGGCTCTCCAACGCAAACTCTCCGTGTATTCTATATTTCTAAGAGATCACACGCTCAAAGTAGAACACGAGCCGGATGCCTTGCAGGCCGTCATCTGCGACTGCGGGGAGCTGGAGTCCGAGGCGCTGCGGACGCGGAAGCGTAAAGCAGAAGAGGCGCCTTCGTTTCCTTGAAGCCTTCCTTGAAATTTCCTAAGGAAGCCTTGAACTGCCTTGAACCTGGAGAATGGCTGTCGAGTCACAGCTCCTTCGCTGTTCCGTTCAGGTGCCCCTGCCTCCTGGCTGGAAGCGCAAAGAGTCTCGTTCAAAGGCGGCGCCCCTCTGCCGCTGGCTCCCCCTCCCAAAGCTGTGCCCCTGTGGACCGCTGTGTCTTTGAGGCTGTCAGGCGGTTTCAGGCGGTTTCAGGCCCAGTCAGATATGGACCGGTCGTGCAAGTGCCGCGTGCGCCTGCCTAGCTTTGGCTCGTAGGGAGGGTGCCTGCTGGCAAGATGGCCTCGAGTTTGAAGGAGCCGCTTCTGCCAAGGCAGAGGGAAACTGACTGTATGGGCAACGGCCCTGCATCACGAAGATGACGATGTAACTCAGAGCAGCTCAGGGTGCGGTTTCGATTCTTGATGTTAATGCGAGGCACACCGTGCCAGAGAAGGTGGCCAGGAACTCAGAACTGAACGCACGAAAGCCCTGAACAGGAAACCCCGTGAAGCAACCTTGTAAGATTTAGGAGAAGCCTGGAGCTGGGCAGACGGCTCTGGCCTTCGCAGTGTTCATCGCCGTCCGGAGCTTCCACCCAGCGCGGCCTTCAGACGTGAGAGTGCCCTTTGGGACTTACTGTTTTTTCGGGCACTGAGGGGACCCAGGATTCTGCTCCGTATGCATGCGACGTGATGTAAAGAGACTGCGACCTAAGATCATCATCGACATCTCGAAGACAGACGGCAAGCTTCCCTATGGCAAGGCTGGGGGGTCCGGTAGAGACGAACGAGGATATTTCAGAGGGGGTTTTCCACGCTGTTGGGGACGTTCCACTTACAAGGCCACTCCGTGCGTCATCAACTCGGCCGTGGACATTGTCATCGGCCCCTAGCAATAGTTACCGCACGGGGGGGGGGGAGGCAGCGCCGCTCATACTGCTCTGTTGGGTTCAGTGAAGGGGTGTTTTATGAGCTCTCTGACACGGGCTCTCCTTGTCTCATCCTCCAAGGCTCAAAGGAGAGAGAGAGAGAGAGAGAGAGAGATACGCAGCAGAGGCTGCAAGCAATGCAAGCAGAGATGCAGGGGTCAAGAAGGGTCTGCAGTAAGAAGAAGCCGCTACCGTGTAAGGCAAAGCCATTCTAGAGAATATCTACGGAACAGCTCCGAGAGCAGCTCATGGCGTCGGCAAAGCCCGTCCCCTCGGCTGAGATGGCCGTCTTGGAGTTTGAGATGCAGAGTTTAAAGGAGGAGCTGCGCGAGTACGATCAGCAGCTGCCCTGCTGGTCTGCGGAGTTGGCCGCTGCAGAAGAGTGGGCACAGCATGTGGAGTCCGAAGCAGATGAAGCTGAGGCAGAGAAGCACCGCTTGACAGAGGAGCTTTCAGAGATGCAGTTCAGCGGCCTTTCTCCAGCCAGCAGCGCCTGCGAGAGAGACTTTGAAGCTGCCATGGGACACCAGCAGATGGGGATTGCACACCACGACTTCGAGGAGCCCTTGCCGATCCCTCCCTCCACCTTTGATGGGGTCTCAGACGCGGGGCTTCAAGAACGACGCCGCATCGCCGAGCAGCGCTTGGATTGGGAAACGTCCCGCCGTGAGCTGGCTGTGGCGCACCTCCGCCAGCAGCACCTGCAATCGGCCGACGAGGCTCTGGCCGCCGGCCGCGCGGAAGCGGAGGAACTCCGTGCGGAGCTGGCAGAGGCGGAGCACGAGGGCCGTGAGCTGATGCGCCAGCGCCAGGCTCGATGGGGAGTCAGGGCGAAGGGGAAGGGGGTGGAGGGGGTTCGTCCTTGAAGCAACGTTGCATGATCGTGCAAAGCACCAGGGCCGAAAGATTTATGAATGTTTATGGCTTCAGGGGCCGCAGTAGAGGGAACATGCTCTGGAAGCGGTTGAACCCCATAAGAGAAAGGAAGACACAGGAGGACTTTCGGGAAGCTTTCTTTGCTAGACTCTGTTATCACTGTTATCGATTTTTTCTTCAGGTGGCCGAGGAGCAGGAGCTCCCCTTGCGCGAGTGGGTGCAGCACGTGGAGGGCCAGGTCAACGCGGCACGGAACGAGAACGCACGACTCTCTGCGGCGCTCTCCTCCACCTTGGCCTTCCGTGCCTCACTACTCTCGGACGACTCGGAGGCTCAGCCTCTGAGAGACGCGGGCATGAATGTTCAACAGGTGCAGTGGCTCAGGGACCATGAAAGGAGCTGCTTGACAAGAAAGGCACAGCTCAAGGAGGAGATCGCGGCAGAAGAGAAGCGCAGGGACGAGTTCCTGAAAGAGGCCTGGCAACACCGGGCCATCGCAGAGGAGCGGCATAGGCGCTTGGGCGTCCCCGGAAATCTTCCAAACATTCTCCAGACGCCTTCACAGGTCCTCCGGCGACCCCCGGGTTCTGCCATATCTGCTTCGGGCTCTGTCTTGGGATCGCCAAAGTTTCCCTACTCCACGCACCCTATCTGACACCCTTTTCTCTGATATATAGTGCTAATGTTTTGTTGATGTGGGGTCGTTGCGAGATCTTGTGGGCTTGTGCTTGTGAAGCCCGGCAAGCTGAGGCGGCCCGACATGTCATCAACATCCAGGAGCTGGTTGTCTGTTCCGATCCCCCCGATCCCCTCCGTTGGGTCCATCCGCTCTGTGAATTCAGTGACCTCGCCGGTACCGATGAGGGAGCTCGGCGAACGCCGATCGGCGGTGGATGCGAGCTTCAGTAGCCAAAGAAGCCCAGTGGACCTCGAAGACGTGCTTAGCGACGACGACCAGCCAGATTACTGGCACAGTGGCTGGGCCCAAGAAGGTGAAAAGGAGAGCCGGTGCCTGTCTCTACAATAGATACATGATTCCTTGTCCACCAAGCCAACCCGACAGGAGCGAAAAGTTTGGAACACGGCAGTAAGCCTCTCAACTCCAAAGGTCACCCCATACTTGGTCGCCATGGCTTTCGCACTATCGCAGTAATGCGGTAGCACTCGAAGGAATACTTTTGCTTTCCGCTATGACGTCCATGACTGCTTACTTATGAAACCCCGGTTATATAGACAAGGGGATTGTTGAAAAGCATACCGGGTAAGGTCACCTTCTACGAGCCGAAACCGTTTGCGTGGAGTATGGTCCTAAGCCCTTTTTGCGTGAACATTCTTAATCGACATAGGGATGATGCAGTGGGCTGGGAAAATGCATTTGGCTTCTTCCTAGCCCCCTCTTTCCCTAGACCCTAAACCCTAAATCGATAACCCCTAAACCCTATAAACCCCAAAAGCTAAATCTACCAAATCTTGAACCCTAAACCCTATAAACCCCAAACGCTAAATCTACTAATTCTTGAACCCTATAAACCCTCACTCTCAATTCTCGCCCCCCAAACTTTCTAGCCCCGAGCTGCAGTGCCAGGGAACTCGCTGTCTTTCCTGCTCGGGGGCATGCCTGGCCTGAGGCAGTGCAGGGGCCCCGGAGGGTTTAGGGCTTAGGGTTTAGGGTTTAGGGTTTAGGGGGTTTAGGGTTTAGGGTTTAGGGTTTCGGGCAAAGACTAGAACGATTCGCGAACTTTGCCCATTGCGAGAGCCCTAACAACAGCCCAACCCCCTCCCCCCACCCCAAACTTAACCTGCAACGGCCCGAGGCTGGGATTCCGTCCCTTTGAAGGCCGGGCATTTGAAGGTTTAGGGGCCAGGGGTGCAGGGCTGATTTTCTGGCTGATGCCGGCTGAGATGGATGCCTGTGTACTGGATCGTTTGCCGAAGCGCTGGACGGTTTCCTTGAATATCCCTCTTCAATGCGCGCTGGGAGGTCTTCAGCTCCATAGCAGTGATCTATGCCTTTGGTCGCTTGCCTTTCAAAGCTTGAAATCGCAGACTTGGTGCTGTTTCTCCTGAGCACCGATTCCTTTTTTGCTGTGGGGGGGGAGGGGGGAGGGGGGAGGGGGGTGGGGGGCTGGGGCGGGTGGGGAAGTTTGTCAGGTGATTTCCTGGAAATGCAGTCGATGTCCGTCATGGGCGGCGCAGCGTCAGATTCTCAGGTTTCTTTCGCAACGGCCCTGCCTGTCTAAAACGTGGCATCTGCTTGGCCCTGCTAGGTACCAGATCCTGCTTCAAAGCAAGCTGCTGGTAACAGCCCTTATTATGTGGTTTCTGCGGGGTCAGCGCCAGACCACGCTGCAGTGGAACGTGCTAGGTGGGATTCAAGCATGTGGCACAGAGTGCTTCCAGCTGCGACATCACGTCCGTGAGCTCGGCGTCAGTCACAATTGCCATCGCGATGAGCGCTTTCGTCTTGGCGGATGACAGCAGCGAGGCCGTGGCTCTGCCTCTTCATAGACAGAATACTCGATCCCGTATCGGGTAGGTGTCTTGCCTCATATTCAAAATCCCTACTCCCTCTAGTTTGCATAATGCATCAGAGAGCCCGCTGGCCAGCTCTGAGCTTTGAGCTTCATCACAGTGCAGAAGGGTTGGTAAACGCACTGCTTGGCCAATCTGCGGAAGCCACTCTTTCACCACACCCTTTGCACTCCCTCGCACTCCCAAGCTTTGCGGTTGCTGCAGAACATGTTCCGCAGAGCTATGGCAGGCTCAAAGACTCAACGACCAATCCCGCGGATAATTTGACCGTTGAAGGCTGAGTGATGTGAGCTTCGGGGTAGCCATGGAGGGAGCACGGAGCCTCCAGGCTTCGCTGGGGCTACATCGGGCAAAGATCGATGCTCTGCGTGACCTCGAGGAGCGGCTCAATGCACGCATCGCGCGGCTCGGGGAGCTGAGCCTCAGCGTGAAGACGCTCATCGACTCGGGCCCGCTCCTGCTGTCGGATCTGGGCATGGATGGCAAGGATGGCAAGGACGGCAAGGACTCCCTGCCCGTTTTGCCCATCTCGGTGGAGTCCGAGGTGTCAGTCCAGGCGACCCTGAGCAACCCACACTGTGAGCCACAGTGTGCAGGGTCTCCCAAGTCACCAAGCAGCCGGCGAGGCGTGAACCGCTCCGTGTCTTGGGTCAGCCCGGACGAAGAGCGGCCGGTCTGCGCCAAGGAGGATGCACCCCGGTTCCCTCCACACGGGCACTGGGTGCCCGCGGATTTGTTGGAGCGCCGTGCCTCCTTTCAGGGAGAGGCGGCCCAGAAATTGGGAGGGAGGCAAGTGCAGCTTGAGACGAAGCTGGGCAATGTGCCTTGCATCCTAGTGGAGCCCATGGGGAAGCTGCTAAGTCCTGACGAGTTCATCAGCGTCGGGGTGGCAATTGTATTCCAGGAAGCGCCGCATTCGGGCTCGAGCGTGGAGGAGTGGGCGCAGGTCCTTAAGCGCACGAAGCTTTTAGATGCTGGCCTCTCTGTGGCCTTTCCCGATCTGGGCCAGGCTCTCCTGCAACGAAAAGAGGAAGGGGTGAGTGGGCCCACAGAGTCCACCGAGCTCGCAGCTGACTTTCAGGAGGTCTTCAACGCGATTCTGTCCTCCACAAAGGAGGACTTCTACATCCTCTGCGGCAAAGGCAAAGGTGCGCACCATGCCATGGACTTAGCCGCCAGAAACAGCGCCAAAGTAGTGTCTGCGATCCTTTTCGCTCCAACCTCTCCTCCGCCCAGCTCCTGCCAGAGTTTCCCTGGCCCGGTAATGTTGGTCTGGGCACAGGATGATAAGAAGTGCCCCTTTGAGAATGCACCGCTCTGGGCAGAGCAGCTGGGTTGCCGGGACGATGCCGTGGCTGTGCTCCGTGATCCGTCTGTTGGGGGCCACGACCTTGCTCGGGTCCTCCGTAAGGACGAGCGGACTGCAACTGACATGCTGGCCTTTGTGGCTGCCGTGCTGCTGGTTGCTGAACTGCCCAAGCTGAAGGCCGATCTTGCAGACGGCCAAAATGGCCGGAAGTCCCACGTTCTCCGGCTGCTGGAAGAGCTTCCCCAACACCTCCTGACCCAGCTCATGCGCCAGCAAGTGGGAATGAAGTCCGAAGGTACCGAAGGTCATGCCGACGACCTTGCTGCGGCGTTACTGGCCCATGTCCTGGAACAGCCCCAAGCTGCCAACAGCATAATGCAAGCTCTTAGGGAGTGGATCAATAACGACATGCCAAGCGGTGCCTCTGCGTCTGAGTGAGCCAAGTGAGCCAATGTTAGTGAGGCGCTTCTTGGTAGATGAGGTTTCACCTGGCCAGAACTGCATTGGACAAGCCAGCGTAGGTCAGCATAACTAGTGCGGGCGACTGCTCAAAGGACTGCGCCGTGGCTGTTTGCAGTGCAAATGTGGATGTAAAAGAAGACAGGGCGCCCGGCCCCCACTCAATTTGACTCCAAATCGAGTTTAACCCCAAATTGAGCCGTAGTCCCCCCCCCCCTCCCCTCAGATTCGTGTGTCAGATCTTCTCAGGGCAGCTTCAAGCCGATCGGTTTACTTTTTGTTGTGGCGAAGGCGGCTGAGAGTGTGTTGTTGGATGGAATATCTGTTCTGCAGAAGAATTCCTCAACTTTACGGCTCCACATGACAGGTCTTTTTCTCATGCCTCTGCATCCTGCTGAGCATCCAGAGACCTTTGCGCAGTTGATTCTTTGGAGTCGGGCCATGTTGGTGTAATGCTGTCCTCAGGTGCTGTCCTTGCAGAGAAGCACCTGAAGGCGAGGAGCATGGGAAAACACAGGGTTCCTAGCCTGACCATGTGCGCCTAGCACTGATTTGATCTCGCCTGCTTCTTGCGCTTGAGGGGAAATTGCTTGCACAGCACGTGTGAATTCAAGCAGGCCTTCAACGACATGCCGATCTATGCGCAGGACGGTTTGCTCTCTCTCTCTCTCTCTCTCTCTGTATCTATCCCTGTGTGTTCTGTGTGTGTGTGTGTGTGTGTTTTTTGGGAATCTGTTCGAATCCCTCGCGAAGCTCGGAGATGCAGGTGGCCCAGCTGAAGTTCGCGTGGCTGTGGACGTCTCTGGTTCTGACTCTCCTCTTCGACAGCGCTGGCCCAAGCATGGCCAAAGTTCGCAAGGAGCCGTGCCCAATCCATCGTGAGCTGAGGAAATGTGCGGGAGGATGGCTTCTGGAACGGCTGGGATAGCCGGACGGTGGTGGTGACCTGCTCCTGGCCGGCCCCTCAAAGCTGGGTGTCCTAGTACATGACCCACATCAGCCAACGGGTTGGAGAGGAGAGCGTTGAGAATTGCCCGCAGCCTTCCGTGCAGGTCAAAGCAGGGGCAATCCCCACTTTTTCTCAAGGCCCCCAAGAAGTCAACATAGAAAGGTAAAGCACCTAAATCACCTAAACCATACACCAGCATACACAAGCCATAAACGAAGATCCCCAACTCGCAATGCTCCCGGGCCCCTTTGGGCCTGGGAGTTGCTTCAGCGTCTGCACTCATGGCGCCTGCTTGGCCCAGGGCTCTGAGGCACTGCTGTCAGACTTGGAGGACTCCTGGAAATACCAAGTTCGGGGTTCGCTAATTGGGGGGGTTTCTGGGATAACTCGCAGCCAGCGGCAGATTTCAAAGTGTAATCAGGCGTGGTTGTGAGTTGTGAGTGGAGCTTGTGAAGGACATCGCCAGCTTTGCCCCCATTCAGACAGCCCGACGCGGCTGTCTTGGTATGTGTGGCAATGGCCCCAACTGCCTGCTGGAACAGCCAGGCAAGCGACAGGCCATCAGCCGGCTGGACAGTTTCAGCAAAATCGTCTCTCTTGTCAAAAAAGTCCTCAAGGACACGTCCAGCTTACAGCCGGACCTGCTGGAAAAGGCGCGCTTGAAATCTGATGCAATTCGAATCATTGCGAGGAGCTCCTTCCGCCCAGAACAAACAAGGGAGGACATGGGTAAGGCCATTGGACTCTTATCCCATGCCATGGAGCAAGAGATCCGAGAGGGGCCCAAGATGTCGGCGCGGCTGCGGAGCCTGTACCTCTTGCGGGGGAGGGCCTTTGGAAAGCGTCTTCTGGCCTTACCCGGGTTACCCGAGAGCGAGAGCGACAAGGCCCAAGACGCGTCGGCGGCCCTGTCTGATTTCAAGGCTGTGTTAGCTGAGGACCCAAGCTGTCCGGAGGCTTTCGCAGAGGCGGGTCATATCTACGGCTTCACTGGCCAGACTGCCGAGGCACTGGAGTGGTATCAGAGGGCCCTGGACTTGATGCCATCCGGGTCCTCCGAGGCTTCCCAGATCTCGCGGCGCATGAAGAGGCTGAAAGAAGGGCGCTTGGCAGCGGGCTCGGGCGATGGCAGCGGGCTTTGGAAGGTTCGAGGAATCTCAGGGCTCTCCCCCGATACATGCATCTACCACCTCGAGACTCTGCCTCCAGCCGACCCACATCCTTGTCCACATGCCGCATGGCATGTGCAAGTGGCTCATGGTTCAACCATCAGGGAGTACACGCCGGTCTCGTCTGCATCGGCTTGGGAGGCTGGGTGCATGGATCTGCTTGTGAAGACCTATCCTAGTGGAACGGTGTCGAAGTTCTTCGGGTCGCTTCAAACGGCCGAGGAGGCACAGGAGTCCTGCTTACAAAGCTATGGCCTCTTGGAGGAGCAGAACTGTTGGGTTCGAGTGTCGGCTCCGATTCTCACTTTCGATCTGCGTGAGCTGCGCGAAGTTCCATCACTTGGTTTGGTGATCGTGGCCGGTGGAACCGGAATCGCGCCGGCGATCCAGATCATGTCCGAGGTGGTCAACACGGATGGAAGCCTGAAGGGGTGCCCTGCGCAGCTGCTGTACTCCAGCCGCACTCCTCGAGATGTGCTTATGCTGGATGAGCTGCGGGCCTTTGTGGAGTCGCGTCGTGTTCAGGTGACTCACACTCTGACACAAGAAGGTCGCCGTGCTGTCGGCAGTCACTTCCGAGGAAAGCATGGGCACTTTAGCGCAAGCTACGTTCCAAAAGACGGGCCTCTAAGGCCAGAAGAGGTGGCTTTTCATCGGCGGGTGGACATGGACATGCTGAAGGCCGTTTTGGACACCCAGGGCCCAGCTGCACCCGCTGCTTTCGTCATCGTGTGTGGGCCTCAGGGCTTGCTCGACGCATCGGAGAAGTGCCTGATGGAACTCGGTCACCAGCGCGACCGCATTCTGCTACTTCGTGCCACGGCCACGGAAGCCGCAGAGCTCAAGGACTCCAGCGAGGAGTCAGAGGGCGAAGGCCAGTCAGACGTCTCACAAGATGAGCTTGACGTGCTGCCGGCCATTTCTGTTTCACCTCCGCAAATCACCATTTCGGCCCCGGCCAGTGTGGACAAGCCTGGCCAAGGAAAGCCTGGAGACATTTTGAGAGCTCAGCTGAGCGCTGGAGGGTCCCCTGCGCCCTCCCTAGCACCCTCGGCACACTCAGCTCCACTTTCTTCCTCTCCCGGCAGTCCCGGCCCTTCCTTGGGCACTTTGACTTTCGCCGATCGGGTGCGGCAGGAACGCGAGGCGACCAAAAATGACACTTCGGACCTCTTCTGTTGCGTGTGGATCGACTGTGCGCATTCGTGATTCGTGTGCGCATCCGTGTACATTCCTTTTCTGTCCTCGGCCAGGGTTTTCAAGGGGTGGTCCACATTCCTGGTGCTGAAGAGTTTGGACTCGGTCCTCAAGAACATTGGCGAGGCAGGGCCTAGGACCGGGCCACGGCCACTTAAGGTCACGCTCTGGGGGCAAAGCCCTGGTAGGCCGTGGCCATTCTGGTGATCTACGTCTTCGACGTCCTCATCGCAGACTCTGTGCGGGCCCCAGCTTAGCTCCAATGAAGCTCGGATCTGACAACGATTGAGGTCTCGGACATCCTTCCAGCCCTGGTCCAAGAGTCCAAGGGTCGGCGTGGAGTTGGGAGAGGGGCTTCAGGGATAGCTTGGATTCTTTTGAAGCAATTTTGCAGAGCCTGAGGTCCATGGTAAGGACTTCAACCTGACCATCTTCCTGATGGCCGGGCCTGAAGCGCGGCCTGTGGGGGGCAACCATGTCTCATGGCAGGTGATGGTCGTAGTGCTGACCGTGGTCACTTACACCCTGGCGCCGACCTGGAAGAAGCCAGCCCGAACCGCAAAGAGGGCGCTCCCTATAGGGTCCCTGCCCCTCTTCCTGCGTCCGCACCCAGGCGCCGTAACATCGCTTCTGGCCTGCCAACGTGCGGAGCCGCAAGGAGCCGCAAGGAGCCGCAATAACTCAGCGAGGATCTCAATGTTGGCCGGTGGGTTTGCTTATGTTCAAGTCGTGCCTCTGTCATGCTGCACTCATGGCCGAGGTTTGGCTTAATTATTGGGCCTGGAACATGACTTGCAGCCCTGCTGGCCCTGCTGCACAAAAATTTTAAAAGGAGACTCTGAAGCGCCGTGCGCCACTCTACCATAATGTATGGACCATACTGTTCTATCCCCTCATCGACCGTTGCCCACCCATACCCTTTGTTGAGTGCTGTTTGTTGAGTGCTGTTGCTTGCATGGGACACTGTTACCCTGCCGCTGCTTTACCTTTCCATCGGCTCACTGTCTCGGTAGAACACACGGATGTCTTGCAGAAGAAGGTTGAAGAGCGGATGGGGGTTGCGCCCTAATCCGCAATGGATAGAGGTATCGAGAATTTGAAATCGGCGCTGACGGTGGCCAACCCAGAGGATGACGACGTCTCCAGAGAGGTCTACCTGGGTGTTGTGAAGAGCTACAATGACCGCCGCGGATTCGGATTCCTTGCCTGTACAGAGACGGCCGATCGCTTCGGCCGCGATGTGTACATGCCAAAGGCTCGTTTTGAAGCCTTGTAAACAGCTTTACGTGGGGCCTAGAGAGAGCGAACGGGAGAAGGAGAGGGAGGGAGAGAGAGAGAGAGAGGGAGAGAGAGACAGAGGGAGTGAGGGAGAGAGCGAGCATTTTGCGCAAAGGATAACCCGTGAACGTATCAGAGCTTTTGCAGAGGCGGAGGCCACGATGGCTGCTTTACTTGCGGCGGGCGTAGACAGGGAAGCAGGCATCAGCATGGTGATCAATGGGTGCCTCGTTTGAAAAGTTGCACCCGGTGAAACCTTGCTGTGTGCTGGCTGCCATGGTTGTGCAAACACTGAGGAACTGCGGTGCCGCCGCGACTGCGGCGGCCGTAGCGGCTGCACCACGCGGCCCCGATGCTGCGAAGGCTGCCGCGGCAGCCGCGCAGCAGGTGGAGAAGGTCCAGGAGGGGGAAAAGTCCACGGCGCCACGCTTGGCCGAGGAGGACGTAGTCTTCTTCCGTGTTCGGCTGAGCATAGAGGGCTATCCACAGGCCGGCGAGATGTGCGTAGACTGTCCGTCTGATGTTGGTGTGTTGCATGATGTGCTATCGGCTACTAGATGAAGCACTCTTGCCATACAGGCTGTCTGTGTTCAGCGTCTACGGAAGCTCACTGGCACCGTGCTCCTGTCCCCTTCACAAACGAAAGGATCGATCGTGAGTGATGAGGCAAATGTGAATGATTTCGTTTGGAATGTTTTGGAATGTTGTTTCTGGGCTTGCGGTCGGTCACCTGACCTTTCTGTCCCTTTGTGAGGCGGTGGCAGTTTGCGGGCGCAAAGAGGCCGCTGGCTCAGAAGCTGCATGGAGGTGAAGTCAGATGAAGGCACAAAAAATGCACGACTGGTTTCTTCAGGTGGTCTTTGACACCGAAGCCTGTGGACAGCTGCGGCTAATTCCTGGTGATGTCGTCACCTTCTGTATCCCTGAGGCACGCTGTGTGGTCGAACCATGTCACCTGTCTCATGTACGTCCCTGCTTGCCACTCCTTGGAGGCTGAGGAGAAGCTCGGCGCTGTCGCGAAACCTGCACCATTGCCAGCCCCAGCAGCCAAGATGATTTCTCTTTGCACCACTAGTCGAGCAGGTGGCACGGTCTTGGGTTGTTTTACCCTGGACCTGCCGAGAACCTTGCCAGAGAATGTGCTGAGTGCTCCGATGCGAGCAAACCTGAAACTTCCCTGTCACGCCTTTGGAGACAAGCTCGTTTTGGCACGTCTGACAGATGACTTAGATGAGGCCGAGCTCATGCGTTTCTTTTCAAAGCAGGGTGCCACTGGGGCCATAGTGGCACATGCTCGTGCCTGTAGTTTCGCTTCGGTGTCCTTTGCTAGCATCGCAGATGTGGCACGCTTCTTGGGCCGCATTGCCCATGCTTTCGCTGACGATCGGGGCACGCTGGTTGCAAGACTGCTTCCCTTGGATCCCAAGCTGGATGCCATCGCAACGCTTCCCGCGCTGCCGGCCCCCCAGCTGTCGGCCAAGGACAGCTCAGGTGAGGATTTGGAAGCCGGGGCACTCCTGGTGCTTTGGTCTCCGCTTGTCCTGGCCGTGGCCTACTCAGTGGAGCTCCGGCCTGCTGGCATCGATGGACCCTGGGCCTCTGTCGATGTGGGCTCCAAGATGGGAGGTGGAAACAGCAGCCATCGCTTTGACTCCTCCACCTCCTCCTGTAAGGTGACGAGCCTTCACTTGACCACCCGATACGAGGCCCGTGTCTCCTACTTCACCGACTGCGGCACCACCTCCGAGGCTTCTGAGGCCTCCGAGCCCTGCACGCCTTCCCAGGGCTCCGATGCGAAGCCCAAGACAGTCACAGCCGTCACGGGGGTCACCGGGCTCTCTACCGGTGTTGCCGGTGTTACTTCCACAAACCCTCCCCCTCGCACTGCCCCAGAATATGTGGCACCGCACTATCCACCGCCGAGCCTCAGCACGCTTCCGCCGGCCCCCGTGAACCCGACCTCCACCTGGTCAGGCACGGCTGTGGTACCTGTATAGCAAGCAGTGTTGTAGACGCTTTGAACGTCTTTGATCAGGATGGAGCACCACCACGGCGGAGGCCAGCGCCTATCCTGCGCCACTGCCGTTGCCACAGACCGTACCTCCACCGGATCCCTTCGCTGCAGGAGGGGGCGGCCTTTTTATCCAGTTCGTACATGTTCTGTAAATCATGTTCGGCGTCATGTTGCGTGTCAGTGTCAACTTGGACAGGCTATCCACCCGCTCCGGCTGCGCCGGCACCGCCCCCACCAGCATGGAGGTCCCCAGCGGGCCTGGTGGTTCCACCGCCGGCTGCGCCGGAACTGCAGCCCTGCGACGAGCAAGGCTTCGCGCTGAACATTGTGTGCCTCGGCTTTTCTCGGTCCCAGTGTCCGTTGCACGTGGAGTCGTGGAGACCTGGACTGAGAGCTGCTGCAGTTGTTCTCAAGGTGGCCATGTGTGCTGCAAGCAGTATCCTATGTGGTGGAGATTCGGGTGCCCTGGCATTCACTTTGCTAAGTCATTCGACATGAGCATGCGAGAATGAACCCACGCCGAGTGAGTTTGATGTAACCACGGTGCTTCCATAGCATGGCGGGCATAGGGCAGCACTTGCACCAACCTTGAAAAGTCTCCCCGAGGCGGCTGATGGCACGAGCTTCGAGCGTTTCGTTCGACCTGCGCCGGAGGCTGGGGATGTCATTGGTTCTCCTGCAACAAAGAATTGCATTTACTCACTTTTCTTAGCTCGTTCATACGAACGCATGGAACAGCATATTCAAGCCCACTGTATGTCAGGCAGGAACCACGACAGCTTTGAAAAGCCGCAGTGAATGATGCAACCTTGAAGCTTGACAAGCCCAGGGTCACGTGGTCCGTTCTAGTAGGACGTCTGACGTAGTGCGTATGCGCATGGCGACGCTTCGGCATTAGCAGAGAACATGTGGAACATTCCATAAAAAAACCCACATTCTTACAAGGTTTCCTTGAGCAGGCAACTCTTGGGCTACTGGTGGAGATGCGGGTGGCAGGGCTGCGGCCGGCGCCACCACCGGGGCGTTTCTACATGGCTCAGGCCAAGCTGGGGCTCAGCATGGAAAGGGTTCATACAGTAGGCTGCTTGCCACGTAAGATGCGTAAGCAGGGGATGCACTGAAGATCAGAGGGTTTGAAGCCCTGAAAGCACTGGAGCATGCGGGGGGAGGTGCGCAGCGTGGGCGCGGACGGCTGGGAGTCGCCGCCCGGTCCCTCGACATGGTCTGCTCCGATGATCTGCGAGGACCCTTCAGCCCTGGACGCCAACCAGCTGAGAGAGCGAGAGGGTGCCTACTTGAACCCAATCAATTCCATGATGGGCCCTGCTGGGGGCCCTCAGCTCCCAGGGCTCCCTGGGCTTCCAGGGCTCCCAGGGAGCCTCCCTGGGCTCTCGGCCTCCGCGGTGCCTTGGGAGCCGAAAGACAGCTGGAAGGGCCCCGAGATTCTGTCCACCAGCGAACCCACCAAAGACTTTAGCTACGGATGGTCGGGGATGCCTCCACCCCCGGCAAACCCTCCCGTCTTGGGTTCGGCCGCCATCGATGACAACGCGAAGCCTGAGGAGTGCCTCATCCTGGATTGAGCTTGTCCTTGGCGTCTTCGGCCGTAGGTGTCACCAACATTGGTTCCATGAGTCGCCTTGCAGGCGTTTACGACATAAAACGGTCCAGCAGTGTCGGGCATAGAATCCATAGGTACTTTAGAAAGCTACTGTGCGCTTAAGGAGCATCCGCTCTGCTTCGTGTAGTTGCCCGAACTGCTGAGACAGCGGCTTGTGAAGGTCCGCTGGGTCCCACAAGATGCGCCTCCCTTGGCTCAGCCCAGGTTTGGTAGGCTGATCCAAATGTGCTAATACGCATGGTGGCAAGTGTACTCGAGTCCTGTGCCGGTTTTGGGATAGGCCGCACCTGAGCAGATTGCTTCAAGGACTTCCGGCACAGGAGTCGCCGTGACCCGCAGATGTGTGGTGGGATGAGTCGACGCGGCAAGTCAAAGCTTCATGACGCTGCTGTGCCAGAGGGGCATCAATCATGCACTGAAGCTTACTGAAGCCTGCAGCTTGAGATGTCCTAGGATATTGATCGTGTCTCGCCTGTCGCAGCCTGGCCTCGTCTACTACCAGCATGAAAGCGGGCAGACGCAGTTTGAGCGGCCTTCATCCAGGCGATGTGGTCCTCTGCGCTGTCATACGTGCCCTTGGGGGTGCTTTTTGGCCCAAATTCTACGACGTGTGTCAGGTCCTCCAAAGACCCTCTGACCGCTGTCCTGGAAAAGGAGAAGCGGCAGAAGGTGGAGGACGAGAAGAAGCAGGCCCGGGAATATCATGGACTATCAGCTGCTCGGCTCTCATACTCATGCTCACAGTGCCCAGTCAATTTGACAGGCTGAGAAGCTCCCAGAGAGGGCCGTCAAGAAGGGTGAAGCTCGCGTGTGGCACATACTCAAGAAGCACAGGCTGAGGGCAACTTTAGGGTATGCAGTATGCAAAAAGAAAGTCAAGGACCACACTGTAGTAGAGAACTGATCGCGTGAATTCCGTAGGGACTTCTTCGGCAAGCCCGCCAAGTCCTGGCGGCAAAGCCAGATCACTTGGAGCAAGAAGGAGGTCGTCGATTTCGGACATTCCGAGTCTCCGAAAGGGCCTACAAAAAGGGGCTTGTTGCCAGGCCAAAGATGCTCTCAAGGCCCTCAAGTTCAAGCTTGAGAACGTGGCCTACGGGGGTGGGGCACAGGCTGGGGCTCTCAGAATGGGGGGGCGGGGGGCGTCTGGCGCTGTAACTCACGTTCTTCTGCATTATACCGCCGAGGCCTTGCAGAAGAAGTTTGAGAACTATGCCCGCGCGGAGAGTGATGACGACGTGCGCCAGTCAGGGTTGGACATATTGGGAAAGACGTCCCATCAGTCTCCAAGCAAGCTTCAGGGCCTGGATATCTGTAGCGTTCTAGGATTCTAGGATTGGTTCTTTTCCTTCTCTGGGCTTGATCTGGGCCTCCTGACCAGATTTCAGCCAAAGTCGGAGGCGACTTGGGGCTTGCAGCTCAGCCCGTCTCTTTAGATTTTGCATCAGTGTTGCATCAGTGCATGGTGATGGTGCCCTCCAAGGCCCATCACCAAGAAGAAGAAGCTGTTTGGTGACTATGAGATCGCCAAGGCGATTCCATTGATGTCCCGGCAGCTTTGGGGCTGGCTTCGCTGAGACTCTCTCTGTCTCGCTCTCTCTCTCTCTCTGCATGTCTCTGTCCTATTTATCGCAAGTCATGTTCGCGATGGGAAGGTTTCCTTCGAGCTGAAGATCGGCACGATCTCGGACGTTGTTGAAACCCCCGAGGTTTGAGTCTCAGGGCTGCTGACCTCCCGTGCCATCAGGTGCGTTCTTGCGTCGCCCTGGTTGCCAATGTCCCAAGGGCGTGCACCTGGTTGGGCGCTTCGAATGAGACCTACTTGAGAACGTCAAAGAGGTTTCACACCGAGCCAGGGTCCGAGCTCTGTTCCTTGCGGTGCGCGGATCTCCCTTTTTCTTGTGTGCAAGGGCCACTGGGTGGAGCTTGGACAGGGCCGCCACGTGCCCTTCTCGGTTCTTCGTGGTTCTTCTTGGCTCCCGGCTCTCACCACAATCATCGGCATGTCTTGGGTTCACATGGTTCACTCTCAGTGGAAGGCTTGGCAGCGAACCCGCAATCGCCCGCTGACCTGCCCCGATGGCGGCTGCACCTGCGAGCAAAACAGATTCGGATCTTTTCGAGTCAGCCTCCGTCACTGTTGCGTGAGCTGTTCCTGCTGACACACCCCTTTGCTTCGGCCGCAGTTCTTAAGTAGCTTTTGGAGACATGGGACACCTGGGGTTGAGCCGGGGTGTAGGCAGAAGGTAGAGAGCACCCGACCGTTGCGGAGGCCTCGGTCTGCAAAAGCAGCAGCAACAAAAAAGGAACTTGAAAGGAACGCGTCAGACTTTCGATGGTATGAGGCTCATGCTCATTCGGGTGCTCCTGATCAGCCTGGCACTCCTGGCCGTTGTCTACATCTTGAAGGTGCTGTGGTTACGCTTTCAGCAGAAGGGGGGGGGGAGGCCGGACACTTCCTTGCATATCTCAGAAGGGCATTCCTTGAGGCAGCCCTTCTGCAACTGACCTCCGATGATGTGGTCAGTGACGAAGCTGATGGGGCCTTGAGCCAGCAGCTCAGGGTCGCCTTCAGGCGAAATCGGCTAAGTAGACGTTTGACGACAAGTTTTGCTAAGTGCCCAAGGCCAAAACAATTCCTGGACCGATGTGGAGCGAGCGCTGCAAGCCTTCAGGCCACCGCTGCGAAACTTGCGGGCCGAGACTATCACTGTGCGCGAGATGCGAGAGAGATATGTGAGAGTCTTCTGCTTGAAGGAGTGGTGACGATTCCAAGGTTGGCTCCTTCCACGGTTCACACACACACACAGCGGTGTGAGTTCTTTCTGCTAGGCTCTGGCGATCCTCACTGGCTGCACGAAAGAGGCCCCGGCGACAGTGCTTCGCAGACTTGACTCGTGCAGACTTCACGGAAATCGGAGAGGTCTCAGCAAGATTCTGCTAGGACTCCGATGCGGAGAGCCGGCTGGAGAGCGCTGCGTGTAAAACCTCCCTGGGTGAGCTCCACTGGGTCGGAGCCGGGGTGCCACGCAACCTGACACGAGCCTGGCATCCCAGCTTCCGGGGATCTAAATTCTTTGCTGGATTTGGGGATGCTGCCCTTGGGGATGCCACACCTCCAATCCAAGCTCGTGAGAGACTGGAGATTTCGGAGAAAGTGTAGATAGAGCAGGCTTCTTGGAGGTTTGTGGAGGTTTGGGGCTTTGCCTTCTTTGCTTTGGTCGTTAGGATGTGTCCGCAGCATCAGGCCAAGGAGCTCTTCGAGGAAGCGGCCGCGGTCGGCGAGCCGGATGCGCAGTACAACCTGGCCATCCTCTATGCGTCCTCGGCAGAGAGCAGCGAACCTCTGGCCTTTCTAGGGGGGACTCCAGGGGAGACAGGGCTGGGAGCCGCAGGGAAGATGTCGAAGCCGACACCCAGCTCAGGACGACTTGCGACGAAACGAGGTCCGCGGAAGTCCAAGAGGTTCCGCGTTTGCCAATCAGAGAGAGAAGAGCCTTGTGCCAGGCCATGGCCGTCCTGCACCTGTATGCCGCCTCCACAGCAGGCCTGGACTTGCAAAAGGCCACCCAAAGGCCCAAAAAGTTCATGGAGTTTTGGAGGGCTCCTTGCAGGCCATCCGGGTGCCTTGATGGCCATGGGCTACAGGCACCTGCATGGCTATGGCGTGCCGCAGGCGACATTTTGGACATTTTGGACTGGGGGAAGGGGGGAAACGAAGATGTAAAAAAGATGTGCAGTCTGCGAAAGGCTTGCACCACGGCAGCCCTGAACTACATCGATGTGGCAAAGGGTATTGCCAACATTTACTCCTCTGGCATGCCCCAAGCCGTCGAGCTGCCAAGATGCAGCGAAGAGAAAAGGGATGAGGAGCATACATTATATGCGATTTGCTGACTGAACTCTGCAAGAATCTGCAAGAATCTGCAAGAGCCAAGGCTGGTGAGATTGAACCTTCCGCAGAAGGACCGGAAGGCCGTTGAGAGTTAGGATGCGTGCTGTCAGAGTTTGCTCCTGAAGCGCTGAAGAGAGGTCATGAGTAGTTCCGAGCTGAACCTCTTCGTGCAGATCGCCACTAGCGGGGACAGCGCTGTTGCCGCAGCTATCGGGAAGCGCTACCTCCTGGGGATTGAGGGCTTCAAGCAAGACTACCAGAAGGCCGGGAGTCTGCAAAGTCAGCCTTAAAGTCAGCCTCGGGCCTTAACTTGGCTTTAACAGGATGTGCGAATGTGAGGCCAAGCAGTACCTGAAGATGGCCGCCAACAGGCAGCACTCCGGGGCGCTGGCACTTCTCGGGTACATGTACTGCCTAGGCCGGGATGCAGGATGCGCGGCGGGATGCGCGCGTCGCTGCCGCTCCAAGCACGTTGCAAGCTCTTCGGGCCAGGCCTTGGCACGCCCCAGAACTTGGAGACGGCGTATGCCTACTTCGTCACTGCAGCTTCCTCGAACGACCCACTGGGGCACAATGGTCTGGGATACATCTACTTCCGCGGCACGAATGCGCAGGTTCGACTGGTTCGACTGTAGATCGCTGTGACACGTGGTAGCAGTCCCTCAGTGGCCGCCATGATTAACCGAACAGACAAATTTTGCCCAGAAAGCCCTGAACACCGGCAGGATACGCCCCTGAATGTGGCATGGGTCACGAGTCTTTCGGACTAGCAATGGCCTGATGACCTTGCATCTCTCAGAGCTCTATATAATTCCAGCTTTCTTTGGGGATCCCGTTGCCACAGGTGGGCCATGGCCGCACATAAGTGTTTTGAAGTGATGGCAAAGGGCCGTAGCACTACGCTGTTAACACCCCTATAGGAGCTAAATGGACCTAAGACCCAAGAGGTTTAAAACAAGTGCCTTAGCCGCCTTAGCCCCCAGAGAAGGATGTGCCGGGCAGGCTCGGAACCTCCGCCTGGCCTTCAAGCACTTCAATGAGTCGGCCTTTGGCGGCTCTTCGGATGGGATGTTCAACCTGGCCAGCATGCCCGCCCCTCGTTTTGGGGGGCTTTTGGGTCTTCGGGCTGACGCTTTTGTGATAGTTCTCGGAAGTCCTGCTTCCTTCGTGAACTCGACTGAACTCGAGTGAAGATGCGCGGCTTCTTGCCAGGTACCTCACGGGTTCAGGGACGGAGCAGAGCTCAGGGCAAGGTATGTCGTGGTATGCCTTTAAGGCTACACGTCCCAAGTCTTGCTACTTTACGTATTGCTTCGGTATGCAGATATTTTTCAGCACTCTCGGATGCAAAGGAGCAAAGCTTCCAGAAGGCCGTGCTGTACTACACGCAGGTGCGCTTCCCCTTGAAAGCCTTGACACGAGACAGCACTCCTTGGCGGTGGCGCCCAAGGCTTTAGACCGTGGTCACACTCCTGCTGCCTACTCTCTTGCTGTCATGCACTTGAACGGCATCGGGTCCGCCCCTCATCTTCCTATTTCGAGAGCTTTCGAGTCGATTCGAGCCTTGGCACTGCAGCTACTACAGCTACCTTCCACTGTGACGCGGCGGGCCCTGTTTGAGGACTGTGCGCGATTGCGACATCGCTGTTAACCTCCTGAAGAAGGCACGTGATGCTTCTTTTGCACCAATAGGGCCACAAAGTTGCTGCTGCAGGTTTGCGAGCGTGGTGAGTGGGTGTCAAGCAAGCTAGTCAGTGCTTACGACTTCAGTCCGGGCCCCTGGCTAGAATCATCAGCAGTCGGCAGCATGGCGATTTGTAGGAAGATTGTTTTGCTGGTGCATTGCTACTGTTGCTACAGGTGAGAAGCAGCCGGACAAAGCTGCCCTCATGTTCCTCAAGCTTGCTGAGGCTGGCCACGAGGCATCGCTGATGTTCGTTTGAGCACTGCTGGGATCATCTTGAACATTTTTGAACCCAGAAGCCATCGCTGTCTTATCTTGGCAATCCCTTCGGTGAAGAGGTCTCGCAGATGAATGCTGCCCATCTTTTCGACCATGGGCATGCTTCTCTGCTGGCACCCGAGCCTGCCTCAGGCGCGATTGCGTCACATGAAATCACATGAAATTATGGATCTGATCTTCTCCGACCCTCATCGTCCCTCGTCCCTCCGGGTCCTTCGTGTCGTTCCTCGCGTCCTCCCCGCGTCCTCCCTCAGACCCTCCTGCTCGCCACGATGACTTCTTCTGGGATGCTTCGCCTCGACAGCCTGGCCAAAATGTGGCCCAGTCCCAACCTCAGAGGAAGGATGCCACAGTTAGGATGCCTTTTAGATCCTTTTAGGATGCCAGCTCGGCCCTCTCCTCTCTGGAGATTGCGGCTGAAGATGCAGCATTTCTTTCCTCTCTTGGACTTCACCTTTTTTGGTTTTGTGTTTCCACTCTTCGCCGCGCATTTGGCGCTGCAAGGCGCTTTTACGAGCTCTCGGCCGAGCAGGGCAGTGCCTCGTCGGAGCTGCGCTTGGGGGATTATGCCTACTATGGCGGGCGCCCCAGACGTGGCTAGAGGTGGCTGTGCAGCTCCGGGGGCCCCGTCGGCTCAGGTTGGGGCATGTCTGCGCGCTTCACCGAGACACCCTTGCCATTAGAGACGGAGGAGGTGAGCGAAGTCAAGCCCGAGACAGGCGAGGGTGGCTGGGAGGACTTCCCATTACCCTCCATCTACACGAACGATAAGGTGGAGCTCCACCCTCAACCCGTTGACTACGAGGCTGCACTGGCCCGCTACCGGAAAACGGCCGACATGACCGTGACGGGTGAGTGGATGCAGTCCTTCGTCGCCCGGGCATCCTTCAACTTGGGCTTCATGCACCAGTTCGGAATCGGAATCGTGCAGGACGGCGGCAATTTTTCCAAAGCAATCTCTTGACTTCCTGTGTGAGTCTTTTTTAGCATCTCATCATGGAGCGCGAGGGCTCAGCTTTGTGCAAGGACCTGAACATGGCGAAGCAGTTTTACTTTCGGTGTCGAGAGGTCGACCCGAGTGGGCTGCACGCACCCGTGACCATTGCCCTGGCCGCTCTTGCTGGCCATGTGTTTGCCCGGCATGGGCTTGTAGCAAAATCAGATTCCTCTGGCGCTGTACTGTGTATTGCCAGCATGTTCTGAAAGATCAAGCTTCCAAGCCAGGCTATTTCTGCGACTTCCATCGCAAGAAGAGATGATCAAGCGGCTGTCCGCCGACATGCGGCTGCATGTGCTGTTTCTCCACATAGTCGCAATCTTGATTCTGGAGCTGCTGGCCTGTTTTCCACGGCTCTTCTGAGCAGTTCTGTGAACCCTGTGAACTGGTGATCTGACAGGCGTGCCTCCACTGCTTCCTGTCAAGCAGACGGCGAACTGTGCCACCGCGAGCACGCCGTCGCGACCAGGACTGAGGATTTTGATGTAAAGAAGTTCGGAAGGCCTGTGAGTCCACTGCCACTGAACCCTGCTGCAGACCTCTCCGACGGCCGCAACGCAGCCGGCGCTGGGAGAGAGACAATCAGGCGACGCCCACCTTTACCCTGCAAGTTGTGGAAACGCTGACTTGCTCCCAAGGGACTTGCAAACTTGACATTTGCAAATCTTGCCTTAACCTTGGCCACAGCTGTGTTTGGCAGGAAGCCTCACGCAGACGGCGGGGGAGAGCCGGCGAGCTGCCGGCCACGTGGTGCTCGACTGACCCCGGAATCGAGTTCACCAAGTAGTCGAGAATCTGAGAAGCCTTGAAGACCGAGGCCTCCAAGGCGTTTCACCCGGCGTCCCGTTACGTCCCCGTAAGAAAAACCCATTGTATCCGGCAAAACAAATGCAAGGTACGGCAAAATGCCGGGGAATGGAACCCAAGCGGAACCCAAGCTCGCAGTATCTCGGAGTGCCAGAGCGCGGCCTGTAGTCGAGATTCAAGCGCAGAGCCCTGACTCTGCCGGGGGAGAGTCGCCTGTCTCGGAGGAATCGATCACGACTAGACTGCCTGCAGCAGCATGCAAATACCATACGATTGGAAGTCATTCGCAAATGGAGAGAAGATCCGCACTTTAGGCATGGCTTTCGTTGCAGGCCCCCTCCTTCGACGTGAGTCGTAGCGTAGCTGCCGCTGCCGGAGCTGGCTTGAGTCAACTCTGGCCCACGAGCCTCGAGTAGGGTTACCACGTAGGTCCGATGTAGGTCTAGGTGTGAATTGAAAGGCCAAAGACCAAGGCACCAGTCCTTTGTTGTGCGCCCCTGTTGTTCGACTGGGCCTTGTTAAAAAGCGGAGGTCCACGGTGGAGTCGGAGCCGTGTGGCGTAATGAGGTGTATTGAGTGGTGTGTCATGGTGTGTCTCTTCCTTTACTGACTTCTGGATCAAGGTTTGGGCGGACCCTGCCTCGCACCAGCCCTTGCGCCTGCCCATGCCCATTGGGCCCCTGTGACATTCCGTGGCCATTGTAGGCGCATGAGGCCATTGAGGCCATGAGGGTCTCCGGCATCCAGCGCCTGCGTGTGCTGCGCAGGGCCTGCTTTGGGTCGCGGCCGGCATGGCCCGGACATCCACAGCTCGGCCAGTTTGGCCTTAGGCCCTGGAGCTCCTGGAGCTCCTGGAGCTCCGAAGCAGCGCCGCCCGCACCGGCTTCGCCTTCGCTGAAACGCGGTCGAGGAGTGGCGCGCTCGAAGCGCTCTCCGAGGCCCGCACCCCTCAATCCTCTGAACGCCGTGTTCAAGGTTCTCTCCACCCATTGCGAGCCTTACTACACAATGCCGTGGTCTACGTCACCGCAGGCCTCAATTGAAAACCTTGCTTGCGACCTGAATATTCTCGGCAGATGATGTCTGCTATGAGAGCCCTTATCTAGCTCAGACTGCCTGTAGCCTCCAGTCAGCCCAGCCCCCTCCTTCCAAGATCTTGCGTTCTGTGCCCAAGGGTGGGTTTGCTTAGTAACTGTTTAGTAGCAATTCTAGTCGCCGTCCGCAGACCACTGCAGCTGCATCAGCCCTGGCTCTCGAAGTGGATGGGGTGCGCTATCTGGTCACCAATGCCCATGCGGTGCACCACGCCTCGCTACTGGAGCTCCAGAAGCCCTCGGACGACCTCAAGTGCCTGGCACGAGTGCTTTGTCAAGGCCCAGGCAAGCTGCAGGTGAAAGAAGACAGAGTGTTGGAGGGAAGGCAGTAGTAACTAACATGCATCTACATGTGCAGTAAGTAGCACTCTAGAGTACTGTACAGCACAGTAAAATGCTACAGCGTCTGCATGAGTAAGCAATCCTGGGACCTTCCAATTCAGACTGTGATCTGGCACTTCTGGAGCTGGTGGAGGAGGAGCCCAGCTTTTGGGAGAACGTGGAGCCCCTGAGCCTCAGTGAAGACCTCTGCCATCTTAACGACCGGGTCCGCGTCTGTGGCTTTCCTGTAGGTGGGCCTCTTAGTGAGTCACGATCCACTTGGGAGATCGGGTGCATTGGGTTTCCATGCAGAGGTGGGGAGAACATCAGCATCACAGAGGGCATTGTCTCAAGGGCGCGGGCCTCAATTGAAAGCCTTGCCTAGCGATCAGAATACGAGCATTCTCGACATCAAGATCTTGGGAGTTCTGTGGCTTAGGCCGGTTGTTTCAGTAGCAACAAAGACTTCCAGAAATGCTTTGGAAAAGAAACAGCATCAGGTGGAGATGCAGCCTTACCGTCATGGCTTGGGCAGTCTGCTGGCCATCCAGATTGATGCCGCAATAAACCCTGGACTGGATGACTGCTCTGCTTGCCTTTGCAACTGGACTCCTTCGGTGTCCCTTGGGTTTTCTGCCACATCCAACCCCTCGAAATCAAAACACATGAAAACCCACCCAAACCCTCCAAGGCCCCGAAAGCGCCCCCAAAACTTGAGACGCGCCTTCGCAGGAAACAGCGGCGGGCCCGCTCTCGATGCCCAGGGCCGCTGCGTCGGGGTGGCTTTCCAAAGCCTGCAGGATGCCGACAACATAGGTGGGGGGGGGGGCCTCTTCCCCTGAGGGTTCACTTCAGTGCCAGGAATTGCAGCAAGAAATATGTTCGTGTCATATATGTTTAGATAGATAGATAGATATATATATATATATATATATATAAAATATGTGTAGACGGATGATAGAACAGTTGGAACAGCCCCAGGATTCGGAGCGTGCGCAAGCCCACAACCGGCCGTGTGCCCATGCCAGGATATTTAATCCCGGCAGAAGTACTCCGCCACTTCCTGTCTGGCTATCGCCGCTGCGGAGGCAAAGGGCTCGCTTTCACAGGGTCTCGTCAGGCCCATAGTAGAGGGTAATCCTGGTGCCGGACCCCGGCTTGAGACAAGTAGCATAACGTGGACTTTGTTAAAGTAAGGGAGAGAAGGAGGGGGAGAGGGGAGGAAGAGAGGGAGCTTTGCGAGGTGGAGGTTTCGGAGGCTCGACAGGGAAGGTCTTAGAGGTTCTCGAAATCCAAGGTCCGGGGGCCAGGACTTGAAAAGTTCCAGCGGACAAAAGTATCCAATGGCCGATGACGACAGTGTAGAGTTACAGCGACACTCAATCCCATTGAAAGCCGGCAGACGTGCTAAAAACGAAAGAGCCTAGCAGCTTAACACTCTTCTGCCGCTTCTGCCCACAAGGGTATGCGGGCTTCGGGCACCACGGCTTTGCATGGCAGCCCTTGGACAATCGTGCCCTCCGCGAGGCAGACAGGGGCATAAGGTCTGAGCAGCGACACTTCTTAGCACTTCTTAGATCGTAACACCTTCGTGAGCAAGGTGAGGTTAGAAATGGCACATTAAAAAAGCAGTACCTTTCAGAAGAAGCCTTTGAAATTTCCAAGTGAGCGTAGACAGGTGTGGCTTTCAAATGTTGTAATTGTAGCCTGCACAAGGCAGTGTTGCGGGAGAGCGGTGCCAGCGGGGCCATTCCAGGGGGTGTCTTGGTGAAGCGCATCGAGCCGACGTCACCAGCCAGCGAGCTCCTGCGAGAGCGCGACGTGCTGCTGTCCATTGCAGGAAGGGCGATCAGCTCAGGCCCGGCAATCCAAAGAGGCTTCATGGAAGGCTGAACTGGCTGGGCATCCATAGCTCGCCTTCTTCGTTCTTGTTCTTTGCTTGTTCGAGTCTGTTAGAGTGCAGGTGGCACCGTGCATTTCCGGGGTGGAGAGCGTATCGCTTTCCCATACATCACCAGCCAGAGATGCCCACACGACACAGTCGAGTGTGAGGTGCTCAGAGACAGCAAGGCCCGGGTAAGTTTCAGAGCTCATACATGTCAGTGGGACAACACGCATCAAAATGCTTCGACATGCTCGAGAGGTGCACCATTGGCGCTTGAAGCTTGGATGGCCGAGTCCGCTTGTTCCCATGCATCCACTTCAACCGCCAGCTTACTTGGCATGGTCCTCAGGTGAGCATGTTCAACTAAAGTGGTCCTTGTTCAGCATGGGAATTCTGCTGAAAAACGGCTCAGATTTTTGGTGGCCTGGTCTTCGTGCCGCTTTCGGAGCCCTACCTTCGCTCGGAGTGGGGGGAGCTCTTCGAAGAGCGTGCGCCAGTCTGCTTGGCAGAGCCCTGGCTGCGCAACATCCGGCGCTTCCACGATGAGGAGGCCCAGAGGAACCCCAGAAAAGCTCCAGAAAAACCCCAGAGGAACCTCAGAGAAACTCCAAAGGAACCCCAAAGGAACCCTAAAGGAACATCTTTGCCCAATTTCATGCTCTGGCCATCTTTGCAGCATCTTTTGTGAGCAGGTGGTGGTGCTCTCCTGTGTCTTTGCCTCGGCCCTCACAGCTGGCTTAACACACTTCGTGAACCGACGCTTGCACAGCTGCAACGGGGAGCAGGCCCGGCGCAGGATGCGAAATGTGCAACACACACAGAAACCAGGAACATGCCCGTGTGCCTGAAAGCAGCATCAGCAGGCGCGGTAACGTCGCAATATTTCCCGGAATTGGGTTTCCCGTCTTTGCTGAGGTACGCAACTTGCTTCACCTGGCAAATCTGCTCGATGCAGCAACAACCTCAACAGTTTGGTTCGCTTTGGATGATGACGATGTGATCGCCCTGCCTACGGAAACGGCCCGAGCTAGCACGAGGCCCTGCTAGGTTCCTGATGTCCAGACAGACGCTCGTATCTCCCAGCATAGGTTGGTTCTGGAGACAAACCTCATCCCTGCTGCACGCAGCTTGCCGGCCATGCCATAGCCCGGGCCCAAGCACAAGCAGGCCTTACATGCCGCACCTTGCAAGCACTTCTTCATGCCTTTCCCATTGTGTGTCTTACGACCGTGCCCAGGATCGAGCCCTGAGACGACGTGAGCAGACACCAGTGGGCAACGCCCTCACGATCCACGATGGAGAAGCACCCCGGATCAGGTGGGTTGTCGACCCACACGTCTATAACTTGACTTAGCAGCAAGCCAAACAGAGGGTGTCTTTCGCGCGCGCGCTCACGTGTGCTCGTGCATGCTCATGCGTGTTCGCGCGCGCGCGTGCGCGTTCGTGTGGATGTAGGTGTGTATATGAGCGTGTACATGAGTGTGTATATGAGTGTGAGTGTGAGTGTGAGTGTGAGATTGTGTGTGTGTGTGTGCGCGTGCATGCGTGTGTGCGTGTCTTCTCTCTCTTCTCGTTTCCGCCTCTGTCTCTGTTTTTCGTCCTTGTCCCTTGACAGAATTGCAGGCAGGGGCAAGTGGCAGCGCTCGGTGCGCGGCTCTCACAATGAGCTTCAGGAAGGCCGACGCAACGCTCCGGCAGGCCCGCATCAGCTCTCATCGCATTAATTTACAAAGAGGGAGAGTGAGAGATAGAAAGCTCCAGGCACTTCCGCCGTGGCATTCTGTGGCTTCCCAACGTGCTTCAATTGCACAGACGTGTCAACGGAGCCTCAGCAGCTCTGAGCTCATCTACGGCTTACGTGAATGCAGTCAAGCTCTCGCAGTTCGTGCCCAGCGCTTTGATCAAACCTTCTTCTGAGACGTTGTGGAGTCTGGATGGCGCCGCCGAAATGACTTGCTGCCCTCATGTGAGAGGGCCTTGGCATCTGCTGGCATGTTACAGGTGTGACATGGGTAGAATCAAGACCATCCCAGATCTCTGGCTTTTGAGAATATCGCCCTGCTGGTCGTGTGCCGTGTTGTGCATCTTGTGGTTGTCGCTTCATCGGAGTCATCCAAATACTCAGAGGCGGCAGTATTCGATAAATCTGTGAGCCGACTTTACTTTGCAGGCTTCGGTGTGTTCCACGTGCTCACCTGCACCACAAGCCCAAAATTTGGACATACAGTGGTCCCGGCCGGGATTCCACCATATGTGCCAGAAGGCCCAGAAGTGGATTGTTATTGTACCCGGGGCACGTCCAACATGGAACGAAGCTGAGTAGCCTACCGTGATATTCAACTCTTCAGTCTTTGTTGCCAACGTTATGATTAAGAGGGTTTCGGGAATGTCAGGGTTTAGGATTTAGGGCTTTTCGATTCGGGTAATGTTGAGCAGCGGGGCTCAGTTTTCTAGCTGACACGGATCTGCGACGAAAATCCATAGCTACAATGGCGACACGGCGACATTGTTTCACACCACAACGCGCTGACACACAGTTCTTTAGCCGTCTCGGCTTTAGTTGTTTGCGAACTCTTTAGGTTCTGCGGTGGCACATCTTTACAAGCTACCATTCGTATAGTCGGGCCCTTCAAGCACCCCTCCTTTCCATCGCACTGGTGCTCCGCACCGTCTGCATCGTGCTAAGTTTGTCATCATCTCACACCAGCAGGCAGGAGAGTCTCTCTCCTAACCCTAAACCCGAAACCCTAAACCCTCAACCCCACCCCGCCCGCCCCATTGGACGATGTGAGCCTGTGAGCCATGGCTCTGGCACCTCTGCTGCGATCGGCAGCCGTGCTGGACCTTTGCGAGGCGCCTTCTGCTGCGTGCAATGTGGGGGTGGGGGGGTTGATAATCCCTGAAAAGGGGCTAATTCAGAGAACCTCCCATACACTGATTCACACTGCTCACAACTGCTGCCACGCTCAGGTTTACTATAGTAGGTTGGAAAAGCGTCGCTGCTGTAATCTCTGTACGGCGGGCAGGTTAAGCTTGTATCGCTGCTCGTTTTCAACCCGCCTGCGGTGCAGCTTCACGTGGTCGAGCGACACTTAAAGGAACATCCGAGCCCAAAAGAGTCATGCCCTGATCTGGCATCAACAGAATTGGCGTCATTCCCGTGACATTGAACTGGTGCGGAGACCAGCTACTTAAGTGGAGGGGGAGGATGGGCCAGGACGACGACGCACAAACAGACTGTTTGGGGACGTCCCATCAGCTGCGAGGATGGTTTGTTGGTGGCGGTGATGGATTCGTTGTTATTCATGATGTTTTTGCGACGTTTCGGTCTCGTTCGCTCAGGATAGCAGTGTCCTACTGTGATACATGGGCGTCATCCTTTGAAGATGCCCTTTCTCCTTTCCCCCCTCAAACAATGAGCCAATGAGCTGGGAGGTCAGGGGACGGCTCGCCCCAGTGTTACCTCAGCAAGCAGCAAGCACTCGTGCGAGGGTGAATCCAAAATGCTGGGTTTTTGTATCCAGCCGGAGCACACCTCGTTGGTGAATGCATGCAAGGGCCAAGATTGGACTCTACAGTATAAGGCCAAGCCATCAAACCTATAGGCACCAGGCAAAGGCAGGACGAGGGAATCAACCCCACCCAGCCTACTTGCAGATCCCCCCTTTGAACACTGCGTGGTCCCCTGTCGCAGGGTGATGTCGTCTTGCCCAGCCACAGCGGCTTGCGCTTCTCACAGGCGGAGTCGGAGTCCGACAACCATGAACTCCAGGACCTGCGGCCTATGCTGGCATCCGCCGACGTGGACGCTCGGGTGCTGGGGCTCAGTGCCTTCTTGGACAACCCGGCGCGGGCCTTGCAGAGTGTTTCGAAGACTTCGAAGACTAAAGCGCCGAGCCGCCGCTCTGCCCGGCTGAGCCTCATCGGCCGCGCCTTGGGTGACCGCAGTGATTTGCCCTCGCGGGAGTGCTCGCCCAGCCTCGCAGCGATTGCAGAGTCCTTGACCTTGGCTGCCGGACTGCTGAAGCGCGCCGCCTCAGCACCTTGGAAAGCGCAGGCTCCCCCGCAACTCTCCACGGTGGCGGATTGCCTCGACGGCTTCTTGGCACTTGAATTGGAGCTCATTTGTTCGTTGTTTGCGTCGGAGCTGTGACCGAAGCACTGCCAATTGAGCCTGCCGCTCTTGAGCAACGGCACGCACTTTGAGCCAAGCCAGGTGCAAGAGACTTGCTGCAGGACACGCGGCTACGCTTTGGTCACATCTGTTTTCGCAACGATAGAATCCGGTGAGTCTGTACAATCCATTCGCCTGTGTCATGATTATATGACATCTTGAACGAAAAAGTCCCGGGCAGTGCTTGTCTCATGCAGGACCTGCCGCACCCCTGCGCAGAGCCCACCCTCAGCGAGGGGGAGACTCGGGATGAGTTCTACCAATTCCTCGAGACACTGCTCGCCAAGTTGCGTGAGGTGGCCGATCAGCCGGGCAGCTTGGCGATCGTTCCCTGTACCCTGGCACGCAGAGACCTGCTGTACCTAATCAGTGGCTCAATGCAGCAGCTGCTCGGTACCCCGCATCCTTGCTGAGGTGGATGGCTGCGGCGGAGGGTGTCAACTGCCAGCCTGAGTGACGACTTGGGCCACTGTGTGCTCCTTGTCCTCTACCGCTCCCCACACGCAGAGGAGTTTGTCCTCGGCGTCGTGAACACTGGCGAAGGGCTCCAGTACCACCCCGCCAGCCTGTCGAGGTTGCAGCCGAATCCCGAGATGCCTCTGCGACAATCTCCATTGATCCTGACAAGCATCCCAACAGAACGGGTTTGCAACAGCGCTCTCTGGTACCTCCTCTACCGCCAGATTCTCCACCCGGATCCCGAGAATGGCCGGGTGCTGAGTTGGGCTAGGTTGAAGGCAGGTGGCAGGATGTCGAGAAATGCATATGTGGCTCGAGGGATGAAGTGGAGGGTGGGAACTGGAACAGGCATTGATGATGACATGATGACATGATCACGATGATGATGATGATGATGATGATGATGATGATGATGATGATGATGACGATGACGATGGCGCTGACGATGATGATGAGGATGAGGATGAGCCTGAGGAGGAGAAAGAGGAGGAAGAGGAGCAAAGGAGGAAGAGGAGGAAGAGGAAGAGGAAGAGGAGGAAGAGGAGCACGGTTGCTTGATGCTGTATTGGGTGCCTGAAGCTTGACAACGTGGGTAGGTGCGACCTGAGGACCGGAGGCCATGTATGGTCACCTCCTGCCTTTCCTGAATGAGAGGCCACTCAGCGCCAGCTCTGCGCCGCAATGGACTGAGCAGCTCCCAGTGCCCGTGGCCGGCGATCGATCCTTTGCCATCGCCGTTGAGAGGAGTGTCCGATTTGCTCTGGTCCTCAGTGGCCTGGAGCCTGCCGATGCCACCTGGTGGAGCAGCGTGGGCTTGCGCCGCGCCCTTGTCGAGTGTATGCAGGAGGCGCTGGCAGTGCAGGGCCTTCGGGCTCCCGCCCCAGCCGAGTTTGCTTTGCTGCGCGTGGGTGTTTCCTCGCTGGCGCGAGCGGCTGCGCAAAGCACGGCCAGCTCAGAGCACAGCCAGAACAGCTCACAAAGACGGTCCAGGCTGCCAGAGGTGCAGGCGGTGATCGAGGCGGCCGACCGGAAAGCCATTGCCCTGGAGCACTCACAGCGGAACTCGCGCTCTGTCCAACCTCCGCAGCTCTGGGATGACCTCTGGAGCGCTGCCTCCAAGCAAGATTGCCACTTTGGAGGCTTTGGCCGCATGCTGTCACAAGACGTGGAAGCGCTCAAGGGGGAGGCAGGGCCGGGCTTTGCAACGTACAGAGCTTTGTGCCGCTTTTGTGCTGCGAGCTTTGTGATAGCAAGCTTGCGCTGATCTCCACCCCGATAGACTTTTGCATGTTGTGGAGGTCAAGCACGGTGTGCTGATCCTGCCCGCCCTCCCTGCAGCTTTGCACACCCAGATCGGCAACTGTACAGAGGCCGGGCCATCCCGAACTGACCGCTAGGACGGAGATGCGTCAATGCATGTCGATGTACTGAGCTATAGCCAGGAGGTAGGCAGGAGGTAGCTAGGAGGTAGCCAGAATGCAAGTGATAGAGCAGCAGCTAGTGATGTGGCGAGAGCGAGAAGTGGCCAAGGCCGCAGAGTGCTGCCGGCTGGTCAGCAGTATGCTGACCTTGATGACGAACCAGCGGGACCGGCTGCTTCAAGCATCTGCGTCATGTTTTACTCTGGTGGTGCATTTGGTGTGTAGGTTGATGCCCATGCCGCTACCCCTTGATGATGACTGCTGGCCCGAAAAATGCTTTTGGGCCGGGCAGCCTCTCACACTGGAGACCAAGCGAGACCTCTTGCGCAGCTTGCATTTCATCTCACGCTACTTCTCTGCGTCTGCTGAAGACCTGCGTGCCACACGAGAGACGGACGGTGCCCGGACATGTGTGGCTGCTGCTTTGGTTGCGATGATGGACGCCTTGCTCCGACGTCCGATAGACCTGCTCGACAAACGAACAGCTGTCGAAGAGCGACATGGAGACCTCCTGTCTTTACATTATTCGGGTGCTGCGGGTGGAGCCCAAAGCCCTTGCAAGCCATTCATCTTGGACTCCAGCACTTTTCGAGAGACGTCTGAAGCCCTCCTTCTACCCCAGCCAGAGCTTGCCCTGCTCAGGGCCCAGGTCCTGGACTACTTCCAGAGTTTGTCCACCTTGGCAAGCTCCCGAGGGTCCAGCGCGAAGCGGCTCTTCCGCCAGCTGACAAGGGTGACTGTAAAGGTCAAGGAAGGAATCAAGGAAGCCGTCAGGGAAGGAGTCAAGGAGGGCGTCAAGGAAGGAGCCAGGGAAGGTTCCGAGGAGACGCAGCACCTCTTCACGTTTGAGAAGGGCATGGCTCTCGGCCCGGCTGATCGTGGGGAGCTGAGTGGAGAGACTGCGTAGCATCCATGGGTGCCGGTGATCAGACGTGTGTGTGTATTTGAGAAGTAGGGGCTCATTTGATTCATTTGCTAGACTTTGTCGGGTAGGTGCTGGTAGCGCGGTTCTCAGGTCTTCTTGTTGAACAGCTTGGGCTCAGCATTGGCTTGGAGGCAGCAGGGGACTCTGCGCCCCTCGGCTCGATGAATTCATGTCTGAGATTGCTTCTGCTTCTTATTGCGCTGCTTCAGGCCGTAAGGTCTTCGAGCTTGAATTGGAGCCAAGGCACCTCTTGCTGAGCGGCGAGCAGCCCCAGCTGCTGGACTTCTTCCCGGAGTTGGCTTGGTTCCGCGATGCGCCTCGCACATCCGATTGAGACTTCAAAATGGGGACAGTGGACAAATCCTCTGAAGGCTTGGCAAGGAAATCCTCTATTTCAGTGTCTCTCTGCACTCCGAGGCCGTGTTCCTTTGGAAGGTGCTGCTCCTCCCACCCCCAGACGAAGAGCCCGGCAAGGCAGAACTCGTGCGAGCGTAGCTCCAAAAATCGCAAAACTGGCTGCTTTCAGAGATGGGCTGAGGGTTGGGGTCTTTGGGGTTCAATCTGTGGCAGGTTGAGAGTGCTGAGCTCTCTGCTTTCGCAAGGCCTCGCCTCGTGAGAGCCTTTCGGCAGCCCTGGGGGCGCCCCTGGTGTGGCGTTGGCTCGGCAAAGGCAGGTCAGGACCAGGCCCTGAAGAAGGGACTTTCGTCGTCCAGGGCTTTGAGACTGTGCTGCCCAACACACAAGGCTTCAGCTCCTCGGAAGAAGAAACCCTTCTGCAACATCTCCTCATGGCGTGAGGGTGGTTCGTGGCTGTCTGCTTGTGTCCGCTTTATGTTGACTGGGGGAAGGAAGAAATCCCCCCAAGAAGATAAGTCGCGCCCGACAGCCAACCCATGTGGCGCCTGGAGGCCCGGCCATGACTCGACTGGCAGGTAACAAGCCCTGGCAGCAAGTCAGGGCAAACACGCTTGACCTTGAAACCTTCCAGCCAGACCGGATGTACCCAAAGGCTCAAAGGCTCTGACCCCGACTTCGCTCGAGGATAGCAAGCCCCACCTAAGACCTCTGAAGCCGCGAGCCTCAGCCACTAGCTGAACCTTTCTTTGCCTCGGCCAGCCTCATCCTTTCATATCCCTCCCCACTGGTGTCTATCCGGGGCAAAATCCTGTGGAAAAATCCTCGGCCGTTTGGCACATGCGTCGTCCTTTGCCTTTGTGTTCCACCTCTGGGTTTCTTCGTTGGGGGAGTTCACGTGCACTTTGAAAGGGCGCGAGGGTGCTTGCTCTTCCAGAGGCTAAAGGCCCGTGCCTTTTGAAGTTCGTCTGACGATGCTGGGATAATCGCTGGGCCTCGGGGTTTCGTGGGTGTGCGTCGTGAAAGGTGTGTCCCGAAGTGTTGAAGTGCATGGTCCCCCCCCCAAACAAGAGAGTAGCTACGCCCCAAGCGTGGGAGAGAGCGGGACCGGCGGGGCCGGAGCGTCGGGAGCGCGAGAGGGAGAGTGGGGCTCCGCGCGGTTCGTCGCGATCCCTGTTGCGAACTCCGAGGCTTCAAGGCTTGGTGGAAGAGCCGGCGCTGGCAAGGGCTCCGTGGCCTCAAGCGCTGGCTCGGTGGGCAGTCGGAGAATGAGAACTACAACTCCAAGTTCCGGGCTTTGAGCCGTGCAAACCCAAGTCTCCTTGTGGGCTCTGCGGTGGAAACGGAGGAAGATATCCTGGCCTTGCAGTCGGTGCCCTGTTTTGGTGGCAGCTTGAAGGCCTCTGAGAGTGAGCTCCTTTTGACCTACCTTGTCGCCCCCTATGTTCGGGTGCCCTTGGTCCTGAACTTCTTCTCTGACAAGCAGCGCATGACTTTGCTGCAGGAGCCGCAGCTGCAGGCCAGATGGCCAGCACACCTAAGTTCAAATAGCATCGCCTGAGAAGAACCTTGCGGGTGCGCACAGACCGTGTAGGTTCCAGTAAGCAGTTGCACGTCTTAGCGGCTCCTCTGGCATATGTTTTGCTTTAAAGCATCTTCGCAGGCGGTGCTGGATGCCGTCCTGTTTGAGCCTGGCCCGTCGCTCGACAAGCAAGAATCACTCTTGTGGATGCTTGAAAGTTAACCAGATCTCGGACTGAAGCATGACCTTTGAATGTGTGTGCTGCATGGTTCCATCACTGTACGTCTTGCTTTGTCAGGTGGTTGACGCATCAAGCAGCATTGGCTGGTCCACCAACCATGATTCCAGCCAAGAGCATCTCCTCACCAGCGACTCGGGCGGGTCTCCTTCTGAACGAGCTCCAATACTCACCAGAGCCGGTGCTGGACTCCGTGCTTCAGCTGCTCCAGTTCGCATACGAACAAGATCCTGGCAGGCCGGGCACTGGCAGGGAAGGGCTCATTCTCTTCATCCTTCGCCTGGCCGTCCGCGTGGAGTCTCATGCAAAGCTGGTGCTCCAGCACGCCCAGAGCTCAGGACGCATCAGCCAACGAGGGTTTTGTCAGCTTGTCCGCGCCGTGCAGTATCTGCTGGCAGCAGTGATGCATAGTAACAGCAACGTGTGCAGTGCACACACCTCCCCCCCCACACCCCCACACCCCGCCTCCTCTTGCTCAGAAGCTCGCGAGGCCCGGGGCTCCTCGACGGGAGCCGGCGCGCGGCAGGTGGCGCCACGCCCGGAGAAGCTCGAAGCTTTGGAGGAGCGGGCGAGGCGGCTGAGTGGAGTTCTGCGCAACACGATCCTGGAGATGATGCTGCAGTGGGCCTCCCAGGCACACAAAGCAACATCACAGAAGCTTAAAGACTTAGCTTAGCAACTGCAAGAGTGAAACAAGAAGGAACTTTGATCTTCACTATCTGATAATGAGAGCCAGCAATGGGGCAACTCGTCAGGCCGTGAAACGCAAGCCCCGAAAGCTCGACACGGCCGCTCGGGTTCACGCCCACATTGCGTTCCTCTTCAAGAACCACCAGCCAGATTCCGTTCGGGACACGTCCGTGTTCTTGGCTTCCCAGGTTTTTGTGATCATGAACAGTTTCAAGCCATCAGTGCAGCGGACACCCAGCTCCCAAATGTTGGGGGTTGGAGAGTTCGAGCTGTTTGACGTCTTTGAACGCTGGCGCACGCCTATAGCATCATGGCTTCGAAATCACCCCAAGGAAGCGGCAATCACTATGGAGAACATTGAGCGGGTTGTTACGTGTAAGGGCACTGCAGACATCACAGCGCCGGATGCCAACCGCATATGGCACGAGATGCCACACGAGCCTGGCAACTGGGCTTCCAGACCAGTGCGTGAGAGCAACCACGACAATGTCGGTGATGCGATCGCAGGTGAGTCTTATCGAGACTGGCTGCTACGGACCTACCACCAAGTCTCCCAGGGTTCCGGTGCCGAAGTCGTGGTGTCCGTCAACCAGGGCCGGTACCACTGCCGCGACGCTGGGCTTCAGGCACCCGATTGCCGGTGCGCATATGATGCCGGAAGCACTCTTAAACACGAAACACAGTTTCTTCTCGAGCTAAGCCCTGCATGGTGTGCTGTTTTTCTCCGCTTCTCTTGCTACTAGACATGCCCCCTGTCGAGCACAACTCGACATCTAGCACATGACATGTTTTATTTAGATTCCTGTCGAAACCCCCTCCAATTGCAAGCTCTTGCAAGCCCTCCGCTCCCCGATCTGCTTCAGCTCTTGCCGGAGCACGTGCTGCAGACGCCGCATCTGCTCGAGGCGCCATGCTGCCTTAATGCGCTTCTGTTTTCTTAAATGTTGCAGCAGTTAACTGAGGTGTCCTTAAGTGCCTTTGGGTGTGTCTGATATACTGCGTGTTCGCTGCCTGTACGTCATCTTGTGCCTGCTTGTTGAGGCCTGTGGGAACATGGAGCACATGCAGGTGGTCCTGCGTGAAGAAACTGCGCATCGAACCTGCTACGAACTGGTGGGGCAGAACTACGAGGAGCTTGGGATTGCAAACCTTCAGTGGTGTGTATGATATGGTTCAGTGCTCTCCAAGCGTGGCTGCAGGTACACTGCTGGGATGCTGAGAAGCTCAACGAGAATGGCTGGCCTGAGTGGCTCGACGTACGCGGCCTGCAGACAGTTGGAGACAAGGCGCCGTGGTTGGCAGAGGCCGGGGACACAGTCTGAGTCAGCAGCAAAGCAAGCAGGGCGCAGCAGCGCAGCTACTAAGCTACTACAAGAGCAGGGTGAAGAATAGCAGGGAGGGGCATGAGACTCTGAGGTCCTGGATCCTTTGCTGGCGAAGCTGGAAGTAAGTGACATGACTTTGTACTACCTGGCTTCGAAGCAAGAGAAAGCAGCACACCCGGATGCCTGGCTTCTGGGCATTCCCAAGAAAGGATTCATCAAAGAGATCGCCATCTGGAGGAGCCCGGCATATGTGGAGCTTTTCGACCTTGTGAGTCACGGCCGTCACGTCCATCGGAAGCTGGTCTTCACCTCGGACATGGTTTGGTCTTTCCACAGCCCAAGCGGTCCGGAGCTGCCAATGTACTCCAGCCCAAATGCAGGACCGAACTCGGCTGTGCTTGGGAGCCTTTGGGGAGCCCTTGGGAGCTTTTCCACCTTTTTCCCCTTGCTTTCCACGTGAGGATGGAGCTTGTGTAAGGGCTGCGCGCAAGCACCCACGGCACGGGGCTTCACCGTGCGGATCTTCCGGACATCCGGAGCCCGCGGCTCTTTGGCGACGATTGAGAAGCGGCATGAGTGGCATGAGAGACATGAGAGGTGCACAGGAGATTTTGCATGGGCGCTGGTGCAAGGTCAGGAGGAGTACATTCCGCAGGAGATGATCCAGGGCTTGCTCCCCGATGCCCTCCTGGACCGCTACAAGTTCTGGCGCAGCAAGGAGGCCAACTCCGGAAGCAGTACAGGTTGTGTCCGAGTGACCTCTGAGCTTGAACTTGTTTGTCCAGTGAGGCCAGTGGCGAGGTGCTGGTCGGCGAGGAGCGGGTGGCGACGGACCAGCCGACCGAGTTGATCGTGAAGATGCATGCGGCGAACAAAAAGTCTCTCAGCAGCAGTAGCGACGTGGCAGTTGTGTGGATACATATGGATACAGCCGTCTCGCCATCAATTCCGGCGCCATCTTTTCGCTTGCCACTTTTTTCAGAGGCCCAGCTGCCACCTGGGCCCGTTCGAAGCGGCGACTGCGGTGGTGGAGCGGAGAAGGCTGGGTGCTCTGACTTAGGGGTTCAGCTCAATTGTGAGCCTGTGAGAAAGCAGCACTGAAGCCCACACTTTGACTACAACTACTACAACTACAACAGAGGCTGGGTGGACACGAGCCGGAGTTCCTGGTCAACGCCAAATCAGGGATGTGCGGCTTGACCATGCTACTCACGCGCCTCGAGAACCTCTCACACATCTTGGTCTGGAGCCGAAACGCTTCTTGGCTAATAAGAGAGTGCTCGTCAACGTGTTGTTGTGAGATGTGTTACTGAAGAAATATTTTGCCTGAAGGCTGATGGGTCTGGTGGTGTGCATCGTGTGGAGCTGCCCAGACTGATGCTTTCCTTTTCCATGGCGCACGATCGACTGCACTGTGACCAGCTGGCGGGCTACTGGACACTTGGCTTGAGGGCATCGAGAGATGTCGAGATGCCATGGCAAATATTTTTGCCTTGAAAGTTCGACGCACCAGCTGAGGATTTTGGAGAGGCCCCAGCTAACCTCCAATTTGGTTCACCAGCTGCTGGCGCAGTGGGGCGGTGGCACAGTGTTGCTCGAGACAGCCTCTGGCGATCTCTCGGTGCTGGTTTCGGCGCTCTCCGAGCCCGTGAGGCCCTGGGCGGACGCGCTGAGCCCCGCCGAGCGCTTTCTGCCCGGCCAGCTCGTGCTGCGACGGGGCAAGCCGTCCTGGATGGCTAACCTCGCCGAAGGCCTTAGATTGACTCAATCCGAGGGTCACACTGAAGGTCACACACACGGAAGGTCACGGGTTGGAGAGCATGCTTCGCAGGCTTAGCATGCTTTGACATCCGTTTTGAGTCCGTGTGAGGCTCTCGATACTACTTTTATCCACTGCACCGGTGCGGCATGATGGTATTCACGCCCACGCCAGCTGCCGCACTCTATCTTCTCCTCTGCCGCTACCTCACCTGGCACTTCCAGGAAGTGGCCGCCATGGCAAGTGCCATCTCAGAGGTTTCGGGACCTGAGGAGCGGCAGCTTTGGGAGTGCCCCTTGGCCTGACCTAGAGCTCTCATCTCCCGCGCTCATCTCTCTCATCTCGCGTGCTCATTGTGCTGACTTCTGCAGGCTTGAGCGTCCTGCAGGGCGAGTGCCATGCGGACGCTGTGGCGTGCCGGCTGCACCTGACCCTCGCCAGCTTGCCCTTCGGGAAAGACGCGCGGCCACCCTGGGATGTGCTGAAGCAGCTCATCGAGTACTCCTCAAAGAGGCCCCCGTGCGGTCCGCCGCCAGCTTGTGAGGGCTACTTTTGCTGACGTTGGCTGACATGTCTCAAGTTGTGACAGGCATCTGGTTTCCGCAGCATGTGCACTGCCTGCTTATGGAGAGCTGGTGCTCCAGAACTTGCCGGAGGTACTCGGCCAGGCAGGGCAAGTGAGAACGCACGCATCCTGCACTCAAAGGCTGGCAGAACGTCTTCTTTCACCCGGTATTCGTGCCCCCTTTTTACAGGTCTCCGTGCCACTACTGGCAACGCGCCGCCAGATGTTGGAGCATCTTATTGCCAGGAGCTTAGCCGAAACTCATCTTGGCTCCTCTGAGGACTCGTTTAAAACGTCGCGAACCGGTGTCGAAACGCAGATCGCTTTGAGTCCGAGGCTTGCAGGCACTCGGGCACTCAGAAGTCCATGACGGCGCCCCTGGGACCTCAGCTGGAGGATGTGGGCTTCGACCGCGTTCCCTACCGGCACGTGCTCGGCGAGGTGGGGCTCTTCCAGCGGATGGCCTGCTCCATGCAGGGGCTGACGTACAGTCGGCCCGAGGGAGAGCGGCCGGTGGTGGAGAACTTCGCCGCTTTGCGCTTCTTGGATGCCTTGTTCGGCCGTGCGGGCGCCCAAACCGGGGCTTTGCTATCCTTCCGGGGCTCCTTCTTCCTCATCTACGAGCTCTTCACCGGCACGCTGGAGGTCAAATTGCTGCCCGAGGACAAGCCCAGCATCCTCGCCTCGGCCTTGCTGCGCCTGGTGAGCGGTGCGGGGGGCGCGGGCGTGGGCATCACGCAGATGGAGATGGCCGTGCTGCGGTCTTTGGACTCCACACCGGAGGTGCGCGGCGAGATGCCGCTTTGGGGCTCCGCGGCGGCCAAGCGTGTCTGGCAGGCCGGGGCTCGGGCCACATAATTTCTCCGGGTTGACCCAAACTCCTTGAATCGAGTGATGACATGATCTGACATGTGGCACGGTTGTGTGTGATTCTTCGCCGGCTGGCTGTGCATGTTAAAGACCGGACCAGTGACGTACTCGTAGGTGGGCGCCCTCATCAAGCTTGACCACGACTCCTCTTCACGCTTGCTCAAGAATGCGGTGAAGCATCTCCGACAGTGCCAGCAGTACCTGCAGCCTGTGAAGCAGTTTGCCGAGTTCGAGAAGGCTGACGGCAAGCTGGTGATTGATCCCCAGGACCTCAACCACCGCCGCCAGTGGGCACCGCCACTAACAGAGGATGTCAATTGTACCAGCCGTGGCTTCGAAACAAAGGCCCCAAGCATGTTGTGCTTGGGTACGTGCCCGCTTGCCCAGATCGTCAGCGACTGCTGTGGACAAGATCCCTTACAGTCCAAGCGAAGGGAGAACAGCAACAATGATGGAAATGACACGAACGAGACCAATTGCCACCTACTCAAGTTGTGGCTGCAGAAGCTTTGCGGACCCCATGCGGATCCAAACTTCCGCTTTGCATCCTTACCACCTGCGCAGAGGACGTTGAGCCGCCTGCTGGGCGAGCTGGGCCTCTTCTTGTCAAGCACCACGGCGGAGACGCTGCAAGAGCTGCTGATCCAGCCAACATGTCTGGCCAAGCTGGTGGATGTGCTTCGCAACCAGGGCCAGGAAGACATGCGCCAGGCCACTGCTCGGAGTAACTCACTATTGAAGTAACTGAGGAGTTGGACTTCTAAAACCATGCACAGATTGACATGCCATGTCTTAGTTGGTTAGCAAGTGAGGTGCCTTTTTTCAGGCGTGGGGGTGTTGCCGCAGTAGGAAATACAAGGGACAAGTTCGGAAGCTGCATCAGACAAGGCTATGCAGACCCCCCATGCAAGCACCAAGCCCAGCGCAGTTGGTCCCTTAAGTGTTTGTTTGCCGCTGGAGTCACCAGACACCGGAGTCACTAGACACCGGAGTCACTACTGAGCACTTAGCGTCTTAGAGTCACTAGATGACTGAGCTTGGCGGCAAGGCCACTCTGATGGTCACGGAGGTGGTGGAGGAAGCGAACCGCGGCAGCGCTAGGGATTGGCTCTGGCGGCGCTGCGGCACAGCGGTGCAGCTCAGCTTCAGCAGTTTGGTGGCAGCTCTGATGGCATCTGAGCCCAGCTGCAGCGATGCGCTCTTCAGGGCAAACCAAGAACTCCAGGAGGAGAAGATGAGAACGGTCTTGGAGAAAGTAGCCCAGTCATTGGCCCTGGTTGTGCGAGTTGGTCAGGTGACCCGGGCCATGGAGAAGGCCCTGGAGCTCCAAAGCGCCATCCGCCGGCGCAGCGAAGCCCTGATCGTCACTTTGAAGGCCCGGGCCTTGAGCGAGGAGTTGCTGGCACGACGGCACCACAGCCGAGTCAGAGGCCCCTTTGTGCTCTTCGACCCTCGGCTCATGGTCTTCGAGTTCCTCTTCGATATCATGTTGAGGGAGACCCAGGTGAGGATCCTGGGAACTATTCTGCACAGTGCCAAGGCGGGGCAGTCGATGACTCATCAGATGATCATGGGAGATGGCAAGACGACTGTCATCGCCCCTTTGTTGGCGCTGATCCTGGCCGATGGCAAATCCTTGGTGTGCTCCTGCATGCCTGCCTGCTTGGCAGAGATGACGCGGGCAGTTCTAACCAAGTGCTTCTCATCACCTGTGGCTCCCCGCGCGGTGATCATGTTCAAGTTCGGCCGAACCTCACATGCAGACCGGGCACTCTTCGAGAAGCTTGAGGTTCAACGGTTCGGGTTTAGAGAACATTAGAAGAACCAGTTTCGATTCGAGCATTTGTACAGAATCTTGGTCTGCAGGCTGCCAGGCACGGCAAAGCAATTGTCGTGGCCGAGCCCACGTCCTTGAAGAGCTTGGTGTTGAGCCTACTTCAGTCACTGAGCCAGCTGGACGAGGCCATGTCGGGTTCGTCGAAGCGCTGGTGGAAGACAGCGGATGCGAACAGGACCCGCCTCCTCGAAGCTGAGGCGTACGCCTGCGCCCAGGTCCTGCGCATGTTCCACCGAAGCGTCTTGCTTCTCGACGAGGCCATCGTATTCGCGTCTTCTTACTACGCTGCCAACTGCGAACCCCTCATTGTGTTTAGATGCGCACGGCTGTTCACAGTAGCAATGTAGACTAACAATGACTCAGTACCTATCTCGTGTATGCCTCCCTTGACGCTTGCTGTGTTGGATGATTTTGGAGGTTGACCTGCTACTGGACCCCTTGAAGAGCGAGCTGAACTGGCCAATGGGAACCAAGCGTCCCATCGACCTCGTCGACTCCAAAGAAGATGGAAAAATGTCCCCCTTGGACAATCACAGCAGGTGCCTACGCGGAAAGCTGCCTTTCCACCTCCTGGATGCCGTCTTCGCAGCGACCAAAGCGGCGATGGAGCTCTCAGAGCCCACGGCGGAGCAGGCCCCACCCCCCCCTTCTGCCAAAGCAGCAACAGAACCAAGTCAACATGCTCTTGATCTTGAAATGCAAGTCAAGTGGTTCAGCTTGTTTCGAAAACAAGCTCCGAATAATCCTTGCAAGCCTAGAAACGATGCCAAGATTTACCCAAGCTCAGAGAGTTGCGGTTGTGTTTTGCAGTGTTGGAGGTGGGAAAGCTCATGGCCGTTTCCTTCGGGGACCGCCGGGAGGCCGCCCAATCCCTGCAGGAGCTCGCGGCCGAGCTCAAGGTCGGTTGCGAAGCGCGACAGGTGCGTCTTTCCCCGCACGTGGTGATCCACTCCCAGAGCTCCTCAACTTCTGACTTTGACTTGTTCCAAGCCTACCTACTCCCAGATTGGCCCGAAGTCAGAGAGATTTTCCAAAGAAATCGCATGTAGTAGAACGTGCAGCAAGACAGAGAGTAACACAGCAAGGCTTCTACGAGTCTCACCTCCTGCCGCCGCTGGCCAAGTGGACGGCTCTCTTCTTGGAGTCTCACAACGGTGGTCTGGGGCCAGGTCCTGAACATCCTGGGTCAAAATACCAAAATACCATAGCAGAGTCATGCAGAGATGTCTCGTGCCAAATGGCGGGAGCCTTGCAGGACTGTCGGCTGTCGGCTGAGGCTTACCGCGGCAGAGCTGCGGCGTGTGCTGCGGCAGCCACGGGACATGGACGTCGTGGTGGCCCAACAGCTCGGGCGGTGCGGGCCTTGGAGTGTGACGCCTGACAAATTGGTCAGACAGATCTCAGACAGTGTGCCCAAGGGAGTCTGGGCCGGCGGCACAGCTCTTCAACCTCTGCTTGCGCTGGCTGCATTCCTTCCTGCCATTCTTGCTGAAGAAGGCATGGGCTTGACCTTGGTTTTTGGTTACCTGGTTGTCCTGCGGCCTTCTCGGATCTCGGACACAGGTGCACCGCGTCTCGTATGGCCTCCTCTCCGCTGAGTTGCCGCCTTATAGTGAAGCGCACCATGTCGTAGCTCCGCTCTCTCTCTAATTTGATGCGGGCCGCTGGATCTGTGTCCAAGGCAGCTGGCATCAGAGAATGCACCTCGCTCTCGGCAACTGCTTGCAGTTCCCTTTGTTGGAAAGGACAGCCCTGCGGTTCCTTAATTGGCGACGTTCTTCTGCTTTGACCTTTTCAGGACCAGCCCAGCGAGCAAGCTGAGTTCTCACACCCGGATGCTTCCCGGCTTACACGCGCAAATCCTGCCTCGGCCCGAACTCTAAAGCATCGATGTGTGAAAGACCGCAAATCTTCCCTAACCCGCCCGCGGGATGCTGGCACCAGCTATCAGGGGACCCCAACCCAAAATCCGAAACCCCCCAAAAGCCCCGAAAAAGCATGCCTCGGCCTAGCTATCTCTCTCTGAGAACCCTATTCGCGCATTAGATTCGCCAGAGATTTATAGCTTCCAATATTAGTTTCAGCCAGTCTTTAGCGTAAAGTTACATACATGCTGCGCGTCGCCTCCTCGGCCCGGCGCGCGGAGGGTTTCAGGGTTCAGGTTAGGGGTTGTCCTTAGGGTCGTAGGGTCGAACCCCTGTTCAACGCCTCACGGCCGATTTCCGAGGCGAATTTGACACTTTTCCTTTGTGGGGGGGGGGGAGACATGATGTTACAAAAGCGTCGAAAACTCAAATTTCAGTGCCCTAGCACTAAGGACCCAACATTGGAAACCGCCCATTGAGGAAGAACCACCATGAAGAGATACCTTCGCGAAGCACCCATCACACCTTGAGACCCTAACTCTCACATCTTGGTCTAACCGTTCACACCCTTTTAGTATCATCACGAGTTCACTCTCCAAGCCTTTTAGACGGGTTTCTATCTCTAGCGCCTGTGAATGGTTGATCCGGGGCTTCTGGTTGACCGTGTGAGTCTAATGGTAGAGACTTACCTGGTGATGATAAGGTGGCCATCGGCTTCAGCGTCCTGGCCTACCGACTCCAGGGTTTGCGAAGTGGTGACCTCGCGGCCCTGATTGCGTCCCTCCAGGCGAATGGAGAATTAGCATTGAACCAAGGGAGGCCTTGTGAGAGGGTCTTTCAGGGTTTCCTAAAGGGTTGTTCTGTTGTTGTGAGGTTTTGCTCGAGGGCTTTCAGGGCAGCTTTGATACTGTTTACACGCTTTGTACACAAGGTTTGGAGGTTGACCCTCACCCTCCCTTGTGTGCCACTGCCTAGCATGAAAGTCCTCACTTTGAATCTCATGCGGTGGATAAACTGCCGGGAGATTGACCCCCGTGAGGCGGACATGAAGCTCCAAACTGGGATAGCCTACCACAAGCGGTTGGCCAACCGCACTTTCGTGAAGCTGATTGTGAAGGCTGGGCAGATATGAGAAACTCCTCTTCTAACTTCAAAAGCGCTTGGAGATGCTTGGGAGGCTGGCGGCCGCGTGCGTGGATTCTCTGCGGAGGGCGAGTGGCTTGGAGACCGCAAAGGCCTCTCAGGTCTCTCATTCAACGAGGTGGCAGAGGTTGAGCAAACCTTCCTGCCCTTGGAATCTGTGGACCTGAACGACAAGGACACTGCGTCTAACCTGTCTTTAAAAAAATGTTTGATGGCACTGCCATGAGGAGCAGATAGCCCAGCTCTGGGTCCTGCTGCGAGCGGAGCCTTGCGCGGTGGAGCAGTTCCTTCTCTCTGTGCTTCAGCCGGGTGTCGGAACCGTCGACGTCAGCGATCACCAGCTGACTGCGGCCGCCCAGGACTGGACATCAATCTATCCATCCAAATGGCCCAAACCTCACGCAGTTTTGCCAAGTCTGCAAGCCTGCAAGCTGCGACCCCGTCCGACCCCGTTTAGTGCTTAATACGAAGCAGGGAGACGATATGAGACTAGTAAAGTATATAGTGCCGTATACAGGCCGTCGTAGCCTCGCTCCGTTTGTTGCAGGACCTGGCCGGGGAGCAGCTCTTCGGGCTCTGCCTCGGCTTTAGCGGGTCGGGGGGCCCAAAAGCGCAACTTGAGAGTTGTGTTGGGTTGGGGGAGTTTTTGGTGACGTGGGATGGGGCGGGGAGGGGCTTATTCGGAAAGGGGAGGATTGTGCATGGGTGTGCATGGTGAGCAAGAGAGCGTGTGCGGAAAGCCCGTGAGGACCCCCAACGACCTTCTGCCGAGCCGCCTGGGCCGCTGCTGCTATGCCGAGGGCGTAGACGGGCGGATTTTGGGTACCTTGGCCAACAGCGACGTGGTGAATGTGGTGGAGGTGGCTGACTGGACACCTCGAACCTTGTTGGAGCTTGCCGCGGGCGTCGATGGCCCATGCTTCAATGCCTTCATCGATGTCGGGGCTTCTTGGCACTCGAGTTTGCCATGAAGTTTCACCATGCTCTGTTCAGACATTTTTTATTGGAGCTTGGCGTACTCCGCTTCTCAGGCATTGATCACGGGACTCAGCAACCGGGAGACGGCGGATTACCTTCTTCGCGTTGGCTTGAAGGAGTTCGCAGGTGTTGTACGCCCTGCATGTTTCCGAAAAATCGAAGAGAGGGCCACACTTTCCGTGCGCATCTTATGTTTCGATTCGCGCGCGCCAGGTGTTTTTCACCATGAACGGAGAGCGCCTCGTGCTCCTCCGGGACGGATGGCGGGTGCGGCTCTCAGTCCACACCTCGATGGCCTTTAAGTGTATTATATGGCTTACAAGTTATAAAAGGCTTATAAGGCTTAAGATTCGAGCTGAAAAGCACTAATTAAGCCCTTTGCCCGGAGCCTCTCATGACCTTCAGTTGACCCAACTTTCCTCAAGCTGCGCCTGTGTCGCAATTGAGGTCGTCGAGTTGGCTCAGTGCGGGCTTGCCCCATCCCAGCGCTTTACGTTCTACGACCATGTCCACACAACGGGCATGGACATCAAGCAACCACCTGCAGGGCGAGCTGTGCTTACCATGAGCAAGGACACTACCCTTCGAGACTTTGCGCAGGGTGCCTTTCGTATGCGCGGCTTGGGCGCTGGACAGCAGATCTCTGTGCTGAAAACTCCTGAGGTCTCGACACTTGTCCACCAATGCCGGAAAGCCTGTAGGCTGGCCAGTGGCAGAATCTCCGTAACACTGGAGAACTTCCTCAGCCCAAGCTCACCAACGAGCCCCACTCGCCAGAAGGAGGCAGATCCGGTGGTCCACGTGCTTGTGTGGTCCACGGCCAATGGCATCCGGCAGGAGTGCCGGAAGCAGCGGTTGCTTTGCCAGCAGAACTTTCGTGATGTTTGGAAGCGGAAAGCCCGCTTGAAGCTCGAGAACGTGGCTACCGCGGTCTACGATCCCAAAGACAAGAGCGCCGTGGACAGCCTGCGCGCCATCTCCACGCAGGCGGCGCTTGAAGACCTGCGAAGTCGACCTGAGTTCTTTGGGCTGCCTTCGCGTGTTGAACTCCATGAGGGCAAGCAGCCCAGCCTGCAGGAGAAGCTGCAGGCCGAGGTTTCCAAGAGAAAGTTGAACCCAACAGAGCGAGCGGAGGCTGAGGCAGTGATGGCCGAGTGCTGGCCACCGGAGTGTGAGATTGACTGGGACGATGCACCAAAGAGTGATGCAATGGAAGGAGAGCAGGTTCAAGAAGAAGAACAGGAAGAAGAGCAGGAGCAGGAGCAAGAGCAAGAGGAGGAGCAAGAGAAGGAGCAGGAGCAGGAAGGGCTTCCCGAAGAGCCGGCCAACGAGAAGTTCTCGCGTGCTGACGAGCGACAGCAACCATGGAGCCTCAGTAGCCTCGCTCAGCCCACCGGCTCTGGCTCCCCTCCCTTCTATCCATTAAAGGACTTCGCCGTCCATCGGGGAATGCTGGGAGGGGACTGCAACTTCCTGGAAGAGCTGCCGCCCTTCCTGATGATCAGCGACAACTACTACCGAAAGGTGGCCGCGTCCAAGTTTCAGTTGATTATGACTAGACATGTCTGGATTGCGTACTCCCAAGTTGCCTGCGAACTCTGCTCTCTGACATACATTATGACCCTGCACCTCCTTACCCCGACACTGCAGAGTTGGACGCGAACCTTCCGCACACAGACGCACGGAGACACACAGAGACACACACAGACACGCAGACACGCAGACGCACAGACACGTGCACGCCACACCAATCAACGTGCAGATGCGAGGCATAGTGCTTGCACATGTTTGGAATTGCTTTGGAACCTTGTGCCAACCCACCTTTTCACAATAGCAGTGGCTTAAATTGCTACGATTGCCAGAACCCAGACTCCCCATACCTCCAATGCATTCCAATACTCGCAAGACTCGCAAGTCGCGGGGCAGGCCTGGCGGTTGCAGTCGACGAGGCGTTTACGAAACATAATTTGCATCTTGGAGCCAAGGCCTCAGCTGAAGCTCCATGGTGACAAATGCGTTGTTCATCTGAGCTCCGAGGTGGGTGCCTGACAGACGTCAACTGACGCCTCTGGAAATTCCTGGCCAACTCTCTGATCAACAGATGGAGTGGCTGCTGGATCACGAAAGTTAAAGCAGCCCATGCAGTGTGTCAAATAAGTGGTTCCAACATCAAGGGTACGAGGGGCTAGATCGACCCACATGATTTTTTTCTCGAAGCCTGATCGCATATTGGACGAACACTCGCGCCCTTGCCAAGGCTCGACCGTGCTCGCCGTCACTGTTGTCGCTCTTCTGGGCTCGCGAAACGCGAAACTGTCGTCAGTTTTGGCTCGCGGAAAGTATAACTGCCATCGTGTTGGGACTTCTAGGCTCACATGGTCTCGCACTGATTGTGGTCCACACTGGCACAATAGCTCAATCTTCAGGAGCTCCGCATGTGACCCTCACAGGGTTCAGGGGTTCCTCCGGCTCGTGCCTGGTCCCGGCTCCTGTACCACAGCATTGGGCATCTTATGTCCTCCTTCGTGTCTCGTGTTCCACTGGAGAGCAGAAGTCTCCATCCGGGCTCGCGGGCTCTCGGGGTCAGTTTTTTCAGTTTGGCTGTCAACGGAACATAATCTCCGTTGCCATGATGATCTGAGAGTGCATTTTTCGCACAGTGTAACGAAGGCTCCGCCTGCTTTTCGAGCTTCATCGTTTGGACGACGGCGAGACGGCACGTGAGGAAGTCACTGGTGGAAATCTGACTGCGCTTTACAAATCGCTGGGATTGTGGGCCGCAGCCCCTTCGCACGAGCCTCCAGTCAGCACACGTCACGCGGGCCTAGAAATAGGGCTGTAGCGGTATATTTGTAAGTACAGCTAAGAAGTACTGCAGCAGTAACAATTGAGTACGTAACGTAGCAGTCTCGTCTCACTGTGTGCTCAGGTCTTCCTGCTCCTTTGGAGCCTTGCAGAGAGGAGTGGCCACGCAGTCCCTCTATGGCTATCAGCAAGGCCGTTTCTTTGTGGCCCTGAGCCTAGAAGAGGCGCAGCACCTTCGTGCAGCCCTCCATCGCTTGGGAGATCAAAGCGCTCAAAGAGTTAATGAGAGCTCCCTGAACGAGCTGTCGAAGTCCTGCTTGGCCCTACGCTGCCTGGGCCCGTCGCTTCATGGCCGTCATGGTTTTCATGGCTCTTCGTCTCAATCCCAAAGCATCCAGAGCCGAGTGCTGGCTGCCGTGGGTGACCCCACAGTCCTTTCTCCCCGCCACGACCTCGAGGCTGGGAGTTCAACGCGGTGCCATGACGGGCTGCGAGGGTTTCGCACACTTCCGTTAAGTGCTACAGTTACAATGTTACAACAGTGCTATACACACATGTGCATGGGAAGTCTTGGCAGCGGATCCATGCGGGCCCTGTTGCAGGTGGCCGAGCACTGTTTCCACTTCGCTAACTGTGACGACATGCCGCGCTCGCAGTTGCATGTCCTGCTCCGCGCAGTCCGCGCAGCCGAGCCGGAGAAGCGGCTGAGGCCATACTGCGGCCATACCATGCAATGCCTTAGGACATGGCTGAAGTCTCAGACTCTCGCAAGTTGCAGGTGGTGGCAAGATCTCAGGCGATGCCGCCGGCGTACGAGGGAGTCATGGCAGAGGCGTAGCTTGCAAACTTCCCACCGAAGTTCAAAGACATTGTTGTGCCAGCATTGCCAGCTGAAGCTTGAAACGTTTGAAGGCTGAAGCCCCATGCAATGTCATGGCAGGTTACCAGGTTTGGCTTCGAGAAGCAAACACTCAAACTTTGGTAGCATCTGTTGAATATGATTATCTCTCGACGCCCACATTTTTGTCACATAGCATCACAGAGCTTTCGCTTTAGAAAATTGTGGAGACTTGTCAATCACAGCTTAAGCGGTCCCATCTGACCTCTCTTGCCTGAGACAGGCTGCCCATCAGCCCCGTGTTTATAGAGAGGGACGAGTTCAAGGCAGCTTGGCAGCACGGCAAACTTGCCATACGGTCGACGGACGAATCGGGCCTCCCAGTCTCGAAAAGCAGGACCTCGCGAGCGAAGCGCTCCTGCAGCGGCTGCGCCGTTCCTTGGCCGAACGCCAGCTTTGGCCGGCGGACGTCTTCCACCTTCTGGATACACACAGCTGCGGAAGCCTCTCACGCGTCCGCGCCCCAGCCTGTTCTGCTCTGTGACACAGTGTGACACAGCTTTTCAGCAGCATGTCGCCATGTCTCGCCATCAAGTATGTCGGCCTTTCGAGGCAGATATCGAGCGGGGCCTGGAGTGGATGCTCGGCTTGCAGGGTTCCCAAAAGGATTCCCAAAATGGTCCATCCCTGCGGATCGCGAAGCGCTTCCCGGCACTGGTGACGGCGCTTTTCCGGGTCCTGGACGAAGATGGCGATGGGCAGATCAACGTGGAGGCACTAGTAGCACTAGATGGGTCACGTCTAGGGTCGTGCACATTTTAAGTCTGAGTTTGGCAGGTCGTGTAAAGAAAGAGAGGTCCAGAGAGCATTTGAGAGCTTTGCACATGCAAGCATTGGTGCAAGGAGTTCAAGGTGGCGCTGGAGCCCGACGAGCCAGATTAGAGCGACGGGTGCCCATCTTCGCACAGACACCGAAGCTGAACGAAGCCGAGAGCTCCGGCCATGGAGTTGACTTCACGACGGGTCAAGACCGGGATGCCGATCGGAGCTTTGGACTCCAGCCTCACTATCACGGAGTATCGCAGACGCGAGGGGGACTTTGGCGGACTTCGTCGGGCACGTCGGGCACGTCGGGCACGTGTCAGCTGACCCAGCAACTTCACGATCATGCGGACGCCAGAACCTCCTCCCCAGCCAGGGGCTGTACATATAGATCATCGATTTCCTAGCGGAAGTGGCACCACATTTGCTCGAATGCAGAAAAGAAAAGCTGAAGCTTCGGGTGGGCTTGGTTTAGTGGCACCGTGCTATTTCGTTCCAAAGTGCAGATCTCACCCGGACAAACTCCGAAAAATGAGGAGACAAGGGCATTTCCCTTCTTGGCAGAATCTTGAATCAAGAGCCCTCTATCGTTAGTTTTTGGGGGGAGATGCCTCCACAAGACTCCTGGCAGACCCCGCACATCCCGGTCGAGGGGACAAGCCTCCAGGAACCTTGACTGACCACACCACCCTCCTACCATATACCGTGTACGATTGCTTGGGGAAAGTAAATTTCCAAACGCCGCCCAGTGACTCCTTGTTGCTTCTGGCACTGTCACATTCATGCCACCTGTGACCCGCTTAGTACTGTAGATGCCCGGAAGGCCTGCAATTAAATGCCCGTTAACTACCTTGCAACATGATGCGCAATCTCAGCCAGCTTGCCCCTCGCAGCTGCTGGTATGAACATGACGCGCCCTCGGTTGTACTCCCGGGGTGGCGGAGCCCGGGTGGCAGCTTGACCCAGAGTAGGGCAGGGCGCCCAATGACAAAACATGGTTGCAACATGCTCATCCGCCAACCAAGCAGCCGATGAAACAGAACCTACCAGCATCAAGCTAGCACGCAATGTTTCGCATATTCCTGTCCGCGAAACATGTGTCATGCGAACTGCTTCAACAAAAGGCTGGTTCCCGCGTGTGTAGCTAGCGATTAGAGACATGATTCTGTGGTTTGGCCAGGCTTCTTTCGCACGATGCTAAGAGAGGAAGGCCACTTTGGCGTACATGCTGCGACGAACGATGCCTTTCAAGCACTCCGTTGGACCTGCCTCGGCGGCAATACCGATCTTATAACCTGAGTCAGCCGTCTCAAGCAGACAGCCGTCTCGGGATGGCTTGTCCGTAGCTGCCTTCGTTGCTGCCTTCGTTGCTGCTTTGTCAGCTCAATGTGCGCAGCTTCAAGCGGCACCAGCCGCGAGTCTCTGAGCTTTACCGTTCATCTTGCAAGGATCTGGAGTCGCTCCGGACGGCGTTATGACGATTTTGTGGCAGAGGCACTCCCCACTGGGGAGTTGAACGTTATTACGAGGGCGGTGCGCGCCGCTTCCCACTGCCTTCGTCGCCAGCATCTCGTTGCGGCGTGCAGGCTTATCCCGTGTGATGTTGTCGCTACGAGAATGAACCGACTCGCCAGTGGACCGATCCTTGGATTATGCTGGCCCAGTGAAATCATGAGGCAGAAGCCTGGTGGTGGCCGTGCATTGCATGCCAGTGAATTCACTGTCTGCACACACCCTTCTGCCGCGGCGTCGGACGAAGTTTCTCAATGGCATTTAGCAAATCGCAAGGACAAGAATGAGTGCGTACGCACCACTGCGTGTCCAGAGCGGGAAGTTGCGACTTTTGGCAACGCTTGTTTCATCAGAGTTTCATAAGTTCGTCAGCGCATTTATGAAGCATGGGCTTCCGAATATCGACAATATCGACATTATTAAATTGTCATTGCCCAATTATTATTAATGTTGACGCTGCACGGCCCGCCTCGGCCGGGGCTAGCCGGACCGCAACGGCGGCAAGGTCGGCACGACCGGCATCATGGTTTTTTGTTTAGAGTCGAAGGAAAATAAGCCGGCAGAGTGGGGGAGAAGCAGCGGACGCAGAAGGAAGTTCCAAAAGCGCCTGCGGGGGGTAGGGGAGGCAGGGGAAGGGGTTCCGCAGGATAGAAGTTCCACGGGACACCTGTAGGTCAGGAGCACCGATTCCAAGTGACATTGTGGTTTGTGCTGCAGGCCGACCCCGGCATCGTCCGGCAGTTGATTCCTCAGGCTGAAGCCAAATCCCAAAAAGTCGATCTTCCTCTTTCCCACAGAAGTCACGGCACTCATGGCCACGTACTCCAGCTGCGGTTTCGCGAGAGTCCGTGGCCGGCTCCAAACGATCTAACCTCCTCCGGCGCCCAGCAAAGTACACATCGAATCGAACGCCGGCGTCAGTTGATTCCTGAGCAAGGCTCTTCTTCAGTCTTCCCCATCTCGGGCTGCATGCCCATGTGCTTGGCTTCTCATGTCGCCCTCAAGGGACCTTATCTGGCTTATCTGGCTTGTGCTCATCATCAGCCAAGATGCTGGCAGCAGTGTCTCGCAGCACCTTAAAAACACGCATCGGGGAGCATCCGCATTGGGGAATCGTATTTTGAAAAGTCACATTCCGTCTTTGAACGGTTGTTGTTGTCGACTCTGAAAAGCAATGGTTCCTTAGGGATTGCTGCCAACAGGCGCTTCAGATTGTTGTAAAATCTGTCCAAAACATCAGTGTCCGCCAGGGTTTCGTAAGTTGAGCACTCACTGCTCGACGACGCGGAGGGTGTGGCCGGACAAAAATGTAGAACCGCTGGACATGCAATGGACATGCAGGCCTCGCACGCCCACTCACGCTTCCTACGCAGCCCCTCCACGTGGGGCGTGACATGGCGCGACATGGCGTGACATTTGTTCAGCATCACGGCCACTAGCACTAGCAAAGCTAAGCCTACAGTCTGCCTGCGCTTGAAGCTCTTGGCGGCACGGTCGCAGAGCAACGCCCGGTGTTTGAGGTGCGCGCCGGCAACATTTTTTGCTTGCATGGGGTGGCTGAAGCGCGCGGGAGCTTCGCAAACAGAAAGAATGGTAAGCTTGGCCCACTGTGGGACGTCTGGCCATCCGGCCCCCAGCATGCCTCGCGGGCAAGTGACCTTGCTGAGGGTGCAAACGTGCCTGTTTCGGCTACGATGAGTCCGACAGCAACACGAAGTCGCAATGATAGTGAATTTTGCGAATCCGCGACCGGTTCTTCTTCCAAGATGCGGCTAGTTGCGGCTCGTTCTCCGGACCTCCTGCAGGCGTCGGTCGAAATTCGTCATGTACGGGGGCCACACCAAAGGCCGAAGGTGCGAGACATTGTTGTGCCACTTCCCGCATACGCAGCAGAAGCTAATTGTGACCGCTTTGCGCGTGCTGCCTCGCAGGCAGGCCGGCCCAAGCCTTTGTGCACCACCAGCAGGGTAAGTGAGCTTGGGGGACGTACAAAAGGGAGGCTTGCATTTTGGCGGGGCGACTTGTCTTGGGTTCGGAGGTGGGCCGTGGGATGCCGTGGGGTAGGGCACACCTGGCCGGACGCGCTTGCCCTGGCAGTGGCCAGTTGGCCGTCAGTCGAGGAAAAGCGCTGCACTTCAAGCGCAGGATGCAAACAAGACACCGAGGATTGGCAAGCCAACGCAATCACCAGAAGCAGAAACTGCACCTCCTTTCGCCATGCTGCTGATGGCTGTTAGTTACAAACACCAGGACCCCCACTGCAGGGAAGCGCGTATTCGGTAAGAAACAAAAGCTTGCAAAGCTGACGGCCGCTTGCATACGCCTTTGGTCAGTTTGTCCACATGAGCTAAATGCCAAATGCCAAGTTCAGGATCACTCACAGGACGCTCCCTCTTTTCTTTTTCTCACTCTCCCTCTCTCGCTTTCACACTCTCTCTCTCTCTTCTCTTCGTTCTCTTTTTTCTCTTCCTTTGTTTTTTTCTCTGCCTGTCTCCCTCTCTCCCTCTCTCTCTCTCTCCCTCTCTCTCCCTCTCTCGTCTCCCCTCTCTCCTCCCTCTTCTCCTCTCCCTCTCTCTCCCTCCTCTCTCCCTCTCTCCTTCTCTCCCCCTCTCTCCCTCCCTCCTCCCTCCTCTCCCTTCCTCCCTCTCCTCTCCCACTCCCTCTCTCCTCCCTCTCTCTCCCTCGCTCTTCCCCTCTCTCTCCCTCTCTCTCTCCCTTCTCTCTCTCTCTCCCTCTCTCTCCCTCTCTCTCCTCCTCCCTCTCTCTTCTCCCTCTCTCTCCCTCTCTCTCCCTCTCTCTCTTTCTCTCCTCCCTCTCTCATCCCCTTTCCTCCTCCCTCCTTCCTCTCCCCTCCCTCTCCCTCCCTCTCCTCTCCTCCCCCTCCTCCTCCCTCCTCCCTCTCCTCCCTCCCCTCTCTCCCTCCCTCTCCTCCTCCTCCCTCCCCTCCCTCCCTCTCTCCCCCCTCTCCCTTCTCTCCCTCCCTCTCCCTCCCTCTCCTCCCTCTCTCCCCTCTCCCTCCCTCTCCCTCCCTCTCCCTCCCTCTCCCTCCCTCTCCCTCTCCCTCCCTCTCCTGCCCTCTCCGCCTTCCAGCAGAGAACGCTGGGCTTGACACACGCCAGCCACAAAGTGCAATGTGGGCTGACATAAGGCCTACAGTGTTGCACGGATGTTGCGGGGAGAAGAGCAGATGCAAAAACGCGTCGTCAGGCAGCTGCTCAACAGACACGTGGGAGCGGCGCGTCCATGCCAGTCGCCACAGTACAAAGAGGGGGCAAGAGCGCAGCGCGTGAACAGGACTCCACGCTGCAGCACCACATAAGCATGGCCGAGCTTGAGACCTGTGACGGGCAGAGCGTCCATCAAGGAATGGGTGATGACCGCAACGGGCCAGCGACCACTCGCGAACAATGGAAGTGGACACCGGTGAGCTATGGACAGCTTTCACTCTCACACTCACACGCGCACGCACGCTCACACTCACACACTCTCTCTATTTTTCTCTTCGGATTATAACTCATGCGATGCTACGCACACCGATGTGCGTGTTGACATTCATGCACACGGCGCGACGCTGCGTGCGCGCTCATAGGAACGGGCAAACGCGCACG